TTGTCCGCTATTTTTCTCGGGAAAGCGATCCTTTTCTAATAAATAATCAATTCACCTCTTAAAAGAAATATTTTCGTTCGTCTCTCAAACACAGATTTTAAACGGATAAAATTATTTCTAATCAACCGCGATCTTTTTGGATCATAGACGAAGATAGAAATAAAACCAAAAAAAAAAAAAAAAAAAAAAAACGAAACGAAGAACGGACTGACGTTGGCGATTTCGCGAGAAACGTCGCGATTTTTTTTTTTTTTTTTCTTTTTTATTACGCTCCTTCTGCTAATGCATTTTTTACTATAACCTGGAGCATCGTAGCGGTTGGAGCACGAGTTGTTGACGTTCGACAAACTGTCGGCCAAGTTCATAACACGCGTCGCGCGGCGTTGATTCGTATTCGTGGGGCGATATATAGCATATACGTGTGTGTATATCGTCGGGAAAGAAGTTCTTGCCGCACCGCATTTACCGCGAGAAGGGAAGAATCTGTGAATTTATGACAGGGAGGGAACGGTTTCCATTCCAACGGCTGGCCGTCGCGTCGCCTGGCAATGTCAAACGCACGCCCACGCGTCCCTCCTCCCGCAGCTGGGAACAGTTATCCAAGCCGCATCGCACGAGTCCCGACGAGGCGAGCATAACGCCTCGTGCAATTATAACGGTGTAACGCGCTCGATCACGCCAACGTTGGATAATTAATTTCATTAGGAGGGCGAAACAGCCGGTTTTTTTGCCGGCCAGCTGGCTTCTTCTTCGTCGCTCGATCCCTATCTAATGAAACCCTAATGGAATTCATTCGTTCGTACGCCTCGACTAGTAATGAGCGGAGTCTCGGCTGTCGCGGTGAGAAAAAGGGGACATTGATCCCCGTTCGGTTGGGGATTCGCGAGAACGATTCGCGAAAGGCGCGACAGAGAGAGGAGGGAGGAGGGTGAAGGCGCGCGCATTTCCATAAAATTCGCAACGTTCCGACAGAGGTGGGAGAGGGGGGTCGAGCTGTCGGATTCCTAAAAACAAGCTCGCTAACCGAAAAGTTCTAATTCGCCAACTGTTGAAGTAGAAAGCTGCTCGTTAGGAAGCGACGCGAAGCCAATTTATTCGATCGAATTACTCGGCGGGGCGCAATTAAACGCAAAGCCGGCCGAGGGCAGGTCGGGCGGTGGGGATGGAGAGGAATCGTCGTTGGTGTTCCCCGAGCTATTCGATCTTCCCTCTCGTAATTCGAACGGGCGGCGAATATTTTCGCTATTTCCTCCTCCCCGAACCAGACGATTCATCGATTCCGTTTATTAATAGAGGCAACTTTCGGATTATTCATTAACGCCGATGCACAGAGGCGCGAATTATTTCGCGCCGTAAATTACAGCGGGGCTCTGGGTCAACTTTGCCCGACTATTCAACCACCGGCTAATAATTTCCCGCGAGTATTTTGCGAGTAAACAACGTCACGAATGGACGAGGCTCGAAAGAGAGGCAAGAATAGAGTACCACTACCGCTTCCCGATTAGCTTCTCCTTCCGTTGTTCACCTTCTTTGATCACCGAGCGAGTCGGCTGGAACGAAACGAAGGGAAGGAAAAAATCTTGTAGAATTTGAGGCTGAATCGGGGAAGAATCGCGCCATCTTTATCCGCTTTGATTTCCTAATTAATTTGATCGATAAAGATTTAGATCGTTGCGAACTCTCTCTCTCTCTCTCTCTCTCTCTCTCTCTCTCTCGATAAATAGTCTAAACGGAGGATAAATTTCGTGAAATTGGTGAGAAATGGTTCATAAGTTTGAAAGCTACGGTACGAAAGATACTTTCGAATTGCACGAAGCAACAGCTTTAATTACGAAACACGTCACGTGTAGCTTTTCCTTTTGAAATACAAGTATATTCGAGAGCAAAGTGAAACGTAGGCCGATATCGTCGAGCTCAGTTTTCTCTTGATAATCGTTGGTTATGCTATCAAGAGTGTAAAATATCGTTGAACGAATCTGGGCGGAAATATCGGTCAGAGGGGTGAGCGGGGATTAATCGCTTGCGTGGAATGATAAAAATATAAGAACGTTAGGGGAAGCTGAGGTTGGAAATAAACGGAGCCAAGGTTACGAAGGCACGGTTTTGCGAAAAGGCCGATTGATCGGTTGATCGCGCCACGATATTTGGGTCGTGAAAAATCGTCGATCGTTGAAAGGATGGAATGAATGGAAGGGTATGCGACTGTTTTGAACTGCGATGAATTTATCCGTGAGGGTGAGATTATCGATCGATTAGAATCGCAGTTATATATCTGGTGATCACGTACGAGATCTCGGATAAAACACGGCCAGCAATAAGAATCGCGCTTTCGCACCGTTAGACGCAGTGACAATTGGTGGAGTTCCAGTTCTCGAATGCGTGGAATTCGTAATTGGAGCGAAATCGATTCGCCCCGACGCAAGCGCGTTACCATCCTCATCGCCCTTACGGATTTAGCACGGTCTAATAATAATTCATTCCCGCGAAAATCATTATTGTTCACCGCAAGATTTTCGAAGCGACCGGTCGCAATCGCCGACGTAGCTGGAATTAAGTCGCTGACTTCGGTTCTCCGGTCGCGAGTCGCGAGAGTAAAGACGTAGAAGAGAGTACGTATATTTTTCGAGGTGAAGATGCAAGAAAAAGTTGGTCGTAGGCAAGAGGGATGAAGCTTGCTCATCGAATATTCATCGAGCGAAGAAAGAAAATTTCAAAGACCGACCATCCAGTTCTGAAGATCTTGCATCATTATTTCTTCTTCTTCTTCTTCTTTTTCTTTCCCCCTTCCCTCTCCCCTGTTCTCCCCTTCCTCGCGTCGCGTCGATCCTTTGGAGATAATTGCGCCGCGTTTATTAAAATTACAACAGTCGCCTTAACGCGACTGGTCATGATCGCGGTAAGCAAGTATCGTAAATAAGAGTTGGAGCAAAGCGAATCGTAACTCGCGGTGATACGAGAGTGCACGAGCATCGATGCCAGCGTGCCTAATTATAGACGATACGATCGATTCGCGTCGGTGCGAGAGCTACAACCGCGCTCGTACGTGCGGCCGCATACACGCGAAATCATATCAGCTGGACGAGCGATGGACAAGCGATAGAAAACTGCGCGTGGTGCATTTTTATTCGCGGTGCATTCCGCGACAGAGAGATTTTTTTTTTTCGACGGTTCCGCCCGTACTCTGGCAAACACACTTTGATTATATGGGGATTGGCGAACCAGCTTCGATGGCTTCGGCTTCGCGCCAGTTTGCCGCACTTCCAATCCTCGCGTTCAATATCCGCATCTAATAAATTTCCTTCGCGATTTTATCTTGCTCTAATTTTTTAACTCATTCCGTTGCGGACAACGATTACAAGTTGCCTTCGAAATGACTTTTAAATAACGATCTTCGAGGTGAACTCCAAAAGTTCAACGATGACTTGGTGTTTGTGTAAGTGTGTATGTGTCGCGCTTAGTTCTACGATATAACGTTTCTTCGAACGAGCGATAGATAATCGAATTGACTTCTGAATAAGTAAACTTGAAACCTTATCGATACAAAACCATAATGTATCTATGTACACATATATATGTACATCGTATACATAGTATAATTTCAAGAATAGTAGCCAGCAGGTACACATCCAGTCACGAAATCTGAGATTAGCATCGATTACGGGAAACTAGCGTTTCCGGTCGGAAGCGTCGGTGTAGATCTCTCTCTTTCTCTCTCTCTTTCTCTCTCTCTCTTCGGTCCAGATCAGATTTCTAATTATAACCGATTAGATCGATCTTCGCGCTTCGTGATCGTCGAGCAACCGAGTCGATCACGTGATATCACGAGCCGCAAATAAATTCAGCGGATCCGCGGAAGAAGATCTACCTACGTGTTCCTACGAGAGAAGAAGAAAAAGAAGAAAAAAAAAAGAAGGGAAGAGGGGGCGAGACGATAGTGTCTATATCGATTCGAGACGAGATCGCGGAAGGGATTTTCAATCAAGTCGCCTGGAGGCTGAATTAATTCCGGAGAAATTCAAAAGTTTGGAAAGCGAGAACCCCTCCACGGGCGGATGAAGACCGCGGTTGCCGGAAGCTACTCGGAGGCCGAGGGGATCCAGCTACTTGATATCAGGGTCCCGTTAGAAATCAGGATCACGCAGGATCGATCGCAGCCGAATTATTGAATAAAATATATGGCCGAGTCCGTTATAATGAAATAACTTCCGATATAGAGGTGGCCCTCCCACCTCTCTTTTCGTCCTCCCGAAATGCATTCTTCTCCGTTTGCCTCGCTCGATAATCTCCACTCGGAAAATCCGATCTCTCTCTCTCTCTCTCTCTCTGTCTTTCTCTTTCTCTCTCGTTGCAACGAGACGGCTGGTTTAAATTAATGATCGAGAACGGTAAAGTAGGTGGTAACTGTTCGTTGGAGAAGAGGGACGGGGGTGAACAGTTCGTGGCAGTTTAAAACAACGAACTATCGTTTTACGGAAGCTACCATTGCGGTTGACACAGGGGTGGTTGAGGCGAGGGATGTTTGTCAGCGTTAAATTAGGTGAATAATGTACGTAGTTCGACGAGATCTTCGTCGTCAAGTTCTGGTATTGAATTACCGGTCAAGTGAAAGTAAATAGGGATGATTACGGTTGTAAAGTGTAAAGTTTATGTATATCGATGAATAATTAAAAAAATGTGCTTCAATGGTATGAACGAATTTCGTACAATCTCACGTATTTTTTTTTCTTCTTTTTTTAACCGCTTTGCGTCACATCGTATTTTTTTACGACCCGGTATCCCGCGGGAGAGAACGGAGAAATTTTTGGAACCGCCGGTTTCGAGATTCGAACCAGCAATTTTTTTTAGCTTCGCGATATCACTGACACGTCATATTTTTTCCCCGTTCGTTCATCCCCGTCATTACATTCCCCGCGATCGATCCGATCTAGGATTCCGTTAAAATATATTACGGATCGATTCGATCTCGTTGCCAAATTACATTAATCATCGCATGATTGCAGATCACGTGGATCGACGGGCTGGGGAACGTGCTGCACAGAGGCATAAAAACGACCAAGGAATTGTTCGACGACGGCCCCTTGTACACCGTGAAATCCGTGCTGAGGGTGATGCCGCGCAAGGACCACGACAACACGACGTTCACGTGCCAAAGTCAGAACGCGGCCGACCGCACGCCGCAGAACGCGAAACTGCGCGTCGAGGTGAGTGGTGGAAGGAACGTGAGGAGGAGGGGAGAGGTCCGGTGAAATCTGGGTCATCGGGGCCACCCCATCGGGAAACCCGGGACGGAGATATATTCGGAGCTTCGGGGGAGGTTTTTGCGCATTTCTTTCGCGAGGTCCGTTTTCGCGAGCGAGGGAAAGCAGATTAACAGCGGAGCCGGTCAGAAACGAGCGGTAACGAGCTGGGGAATAATTAATGTCGCTTCCCTCCCCCCGAAAACTGGTCGCGTAATCGCCAATCCGCCGCTGGAGGGTAGGCTCCCGCGCCGTCTGTCGTCCCACCCCTGCCGCCTCTGCTTTCTCCCGCGGACAATGGCAGCTCTGCGGTTTCCGTCTCGTCGACCGAGGGAGGGAACAGGGAGGGATCGGGAGGGTTTGGGAAAGGGTGGATCCTCGCTTTCGATCCATGCTTCTTTCGTCAATGATTCACGATGACGGGGTCGTGATGACTCGTGCAACTTGTCACGAGGGGGGACGAAAGGGGGTTCCAAGTTGTCGAGGGACGAGGACAAGTACCATGTCCCCTGCTATGTCGTTTAATTATCGGTTACTCGAGTCGTTATTATTAATCGTCGAGAAATTAGCAAGGTGCAAGATAAGGTCGAGGATAAAGTAGAATTGCGACCGGTATTATCGGAGAGTCGACGATCGATGCTCATGAAAGTTCGAGCATCGAGGATCGCGTGACATTTTCACCGCTCAATTTCAACTCTCCCCTCCCCTCTACCAATTTTCATCGAAAATTGTCTCGTGTTTCAGGTCCGCTACGCGCCAAAAGTGTCTCTGAGGATCCGGTCGGGGCTGGGCAAGAATGGGCGCATCGTGGAGGGCAGCGAGCTCCGCTTCAAGTGTCGCGCGGAAGCGAACCCGCCGAACGTCGAGTACAGGTGAGTAACGCGACCGCCACCACCTCGCTCTATAACCCCCTCGCAGTGCATCCCTCTCGATCGGAGAGAGAGAGAGAGAGAGGAGCGAACGATAGCTCTGCGATGATCGATAGCCCGGTACAAGAGCGGTCGACGAATTTGGAGCGTTGTTCCAGGAGCATGTGGCCAGGTGTCGATGTCGGTGGTTGTTTCATGGTTGCGTGCCGACGAACACGGTGATACGGGATGAGAGACGGAGCAGAGAGAGAGAGAGATGCGATAGAAATGGAAGAGTTCTTTCGTCTAGTAGGGATATATTCCAATTCTGGTACGTTCGATTTAAAAAAAAAGGATATTCCCGTTTTCGGCCAAGCGAAAAATTCGAAAAGATGGGATCACCCTTGGGCATGATTCATGAAAACCGCGGTTATTCGCCTCGCACTCTCTTTTTCATTCATCGATCCTTTGTTCGCGGCCCTTTTACGGCCCTCCCCTCCGACGCAAGGGGAATTTTTCCTTTTTTCATCTATCCCTCCATGCATTTTAATCCGGCGTGTTTTACACGGGGAGGGGAGGGGAAAACACGTGTCGTCTATCGGATAGAGTCGAGGAGGGCAAAGGAAGAGAAGAAAAAAAAGAAAGAAAGAAAGAAAAAAAAGAAAAAGCGCGTGGTCAGGGATTTTACCGGGTCAGAGAATGCTTAATTCGTGCGTTTTTAACGACGGCGGGAAGAGGAGGAGAGAACGGTTGGATGGCGTCGCTTTATAGAAGAGCGAAGCACGGGTCGGGTGGGACGGGTGGCGGAAACAAAAGGAGAATTAGCAAGTAATCGGTCGTGGCACGGAGCAGGCAAATAATTGATTCTCGTTACAAAGGGGGAACAATGTAAAGTTTAGGACAAATGTTAGCCGGTCATGCGTCGCGTTACGCGTTGTCTTGTTGCCCGTTTCGATGGCCTCGCGATCTCTTCACACACATATACAATTTTCGCGTGCACCGTTCGTCCACTCTGACGAAGCTGAGATCGCGAAACGAAAGCGAAAGGGAAGGAAACTCGTGAATCGATGATCGCGTGAACTCTCGTGCGATTCGAGGATAAACGAAAGTACGAAAATAGAAGAGTCAACGATTCGATTTAAGGAGCAGCTCTCGATAAAACTCTCGATCCGCCTTACGAAATTCTCGTGAATTCGAAACCGGTAAAAGTCAATGGATCTTCTGATGGATAACCGTTCCAAACCGTTTACGAGCGAAGTTTCTACGATTGTGTAATTCCGTCAAAATAATAAAAGCCACGGGTGAAGGAGGAAGGAGTCGCGCGAGAGATCTGGAATGCCATTAGCGACAGGACTCGGACGAGGATCGTGATCCCTTTTACTTAACTATAGCTGGAAGAAAAAAGGAAACTTTTCCTCGAGATTCGCGGAGATTCGGGAAAGTTTCGTGATCGTTTCATTCAGTTTCTCCTGTCCTTCGATAACGTATGTGAACGCGCGATTCGACCGAGGCTGAAAGAGACCTCCTCTTTCTCTCTCTCTCTCTCTCTCTCATTTATTGCCATCCGAAGAGATTCTCGTCGCTCTTTCATCGATTGTACCGAGCGAGATAAATGTTGCGACCGAAGGCTCGAGAACCGGGGGGCGTAAACCACCATCTCTCTGGAAGGATCGTTTCTAAAGGAATCGGCCACTAATTCGACGAAGGTTATCGTTCTCGCGTTTTCCTTCGCTCTTTGTGTGCCTCGGTTGAAAACTCGGCTATCGATCGAATCTGAAAAATGACCGAGTGGAACCCCGCTTTACGAGGAAAAGAGAGACGAGAGATTAAAAAGAAATTCGTGGTGTGGATAGAAGCGAAAGAGGCGAGGGAAGGAGAATTTGCGGAATCTGAGGAGGGGGAGGAGGGAATGCGCAATTACCGCTCAAATTTTTTTCCTTCGATCGGTCGAACAGCGATCACATTCGGCGGCAATTTTTGCACAACAACTGCGCAAATTATGCTGCAATTGCTCACTCATCGAGGGTTCAATCGTTCTTTTTTCCCCCTTTCTTAGGTGGTTCATTAATGAGAAAAAGGTGATCGGCGACTACACCACGGAAATGATCATCCACAACGCGACCCGAGATCTTCACGATGCGATAGTGAAGTGCGAGGTTCACAACGACGTCGGGAAGAGCGAGGACACCGAAACTCTGGACATAACGTGTGAGTATATCGAATCAATTTTGAACCGCAAAAAAAAAAAGGGGGGATCTCGAATCAAGAAGAATGGACTCGTAGTCGCAAGAATTGTACACCGCTCGTACGATTCTTCGCACGAAAGCACAGGGTTAATATTCGCTGACTCGACCTCTCCTTGTCCCATTCGTCCATCCGGAAGGGTGCTTCGACGCCGTTTCGTCGCGTTATTTAACCAGCCGGGAGGGGGGGGCATCAGCGAAATTCAGGATAACTCGGCTTGTCATAAGCCGAGAGGAGGCTGGACGATAAATTGGACTTCTTAAGGGGAGAATTTGCCGGCATATTTCCCGAGATGATTCTTCTTCACGGACGAAGAAGAACGTGCTCACGATTTATGTACTCCTCTCCCCTTGCGTGGCGCGAGAATAGAATCACCCCTAAACATTCCTTCTTCTCCTCCGTGTTATAAAAAGTAATTATTCGATTGACGATCTAATTGAACGGCTTGAAAAAGAGATTGGTGAAAGTTGAAAATTTTCACAGACGGGCCGCAGTTCAGGCACCAGCCGATCTCCGTGGAGACACAGTACGGCGCCACGGAGATATTGCAGTGCGACGTTGACGGGAACCCGACGCCGGAGATCCGCTGGTACCACGAGGACTCGGAGCGACAAGTAGCCAGCACGCCCAACATCAGCGTGGTGGTGAACCACGAGACGGCCGGACGGTATTTTTGCAAGGCGCACGTGCCCGGTTTCCAGGAGTTGATGGGATACGCGAATATCTACATCCGGGCACCACCGAGTATCGTGTCGCAGAGGGTGCAATACGTGCCCGACGAGGGTGCCGTCAAGGTAATTTTTCCTTCCAGGAAAAATCCCTCTTTTCAGGCCTCGACTTTTAACTTTCTCTTTAACGTTCTCCCCTTGCTCTCCCCTTCTCTTTTCGGGAACCGTTTCTATTATTATATCGGTATCATCGCGTATCGTACACGAGCTTAAACGAGCTTTCGAAAGTCGGTGTCGATCGAAAACACGACGTTATTTCTCGACGTTCGGGGTTTTCGACGAGGCGTCCGCTCCGATTTACACGGATCGTAACTCTCCCCTTGCTGTGGAGGGAGGGATGGAGGGAGAGGGTGAGGGATGGAGGGAGGGACTCGTAACGAGGCATTTATGGAAAATAACGCGAGAACCGCGACCGAATCGCTAGACACACCGCTCTAGGTCTCCGAAAATCGAAATAGGTGGCCGAAATCTACATAACAAATGATTTAGAACAACGGGGTAAAAAAAACAGCTACTATTTTTCCACGGAATTTGAACTAGTTCCGATGAACTACGAATCCGTACAGGAATACGAATATGACGATCGACTAACCGTGTTTTCCACTATTTTTTTTTTTTTTTTCCACCGTTCCCTTATTCTTCATTTTTTTCCTCCCTCTCTTCCCCTCCCCCGTCGATATACGATATATACGCGCGACGGTTTTTTAAAAAGCGGAACGTACACACACGGTTGGCGACGGTTGGTCGATTCGGGGAAGGGGGCAAGCGGGGGGCCTTCTTTTTTTTTCTTTTTTTTTTTTTTTTTTTATTCGACCGTTCCCCTCCTCGATTTCGCAGGTGAAGTGTACCGCGATATCTGTGCCAAAAGCGGACTCGGTGGTGTGGAGCTTCGCCGGTCGCGAGTTCAATCTCTCGACGAACAATACGCAGTTTTCCGTGCAGGAGGAATACACCGCCGAGAGAGTCGTCAGCACTGTCACACTGCTCGAACCCACATCCACGTACTTCGGGGATTACAACTGCACGGTCACGAATAGCTTCGGCACGGATTCCGTCATAATCAAGCTGACGGCACACAGTAAGTTCATATCCATTATAACCGGTCGACCTTTTTCTTTCTTTTTCTCTCTTTCTTTCATTACTCTATCTATTTTTATCTTTCTCTCGACTCTCTCTCTCTTTCTCTCTCTCCCTCTCTATCTTTCTCTCTCCGACTAGCTAGCTGTCTGCATTCTTCACTCCCGCGATTCCACGCTATTTTCCGCGTGCTGCGCGCGACGCGTCCTCGAAAAATTGCTACGTTTTCTGGATGGAAAAACGCTCGAAGCGATTCGCGAGATCTCTCCCGGGAGGAGAATAATGTCCCTGTTACAGGGGTGAAAAAAAAAATCTGTAATCCGGACCGATTACGAAATCAGCCGTAACTTGCCCGAAATTCGAAACGCTTCGGAAGTAACTAAAAAACGATCGCGTTTCCAAAAGAATCTATATCGAATCGTTGGCAAAACCACGGCGTGAAACTGCACAGCTCGACGCGCGCTCGGTGATTTTGCAATTTTTTTTGGAAAACACGCGTCGATATCTGATATGCGCGTTCGATCGGTTCTCGTAACCAGTGGACAAGACGAGGCGAGGCCGATTCGTTGCCGTTCGGACACGTTGTAGTAAAATACGGGAGGAAATTTTTTTTCCTTTTTCTTTTTTTTTTTTCCGAATACCCGTCTACATTTCGAAAAACGAAATAACGATAACAAATGGCGCTCTAAGTCTCAATTTAACCCCGCGATCCCCGTGTATCGTAATTCTCGGCCCCGGGGCCAATTTTTCCCCCATAATTCTAACCGGATCTTTCTCATCGACCGATCCGTCCACGCCGCCCGTTTCCACGCTCGATTCACGCCTGATTCTGTACATTTTCCATACCCGATACGGGCTTGGACCGCGTCGTAAATTGCCCGAGTTTCAATTAACCCGCGCGCGAGTTTCGCGAAATTTAAGCGGGCGGCGTCGTTAAGCAGTCGCGCGCACTCGCGTCTCTGTCGAATTTTTATTTCCGACGCACGATAGCCGGAAATGGTCGCGCGTTTTTCGAGAGGGGAGAAGAAAAAAGGGAAGAAGAAGAAGAAGAAGAAGAAGAAAGAGAGAAGGAGAGAGAGAAAAAAAAAAGAAAGATCGTTGTTTCACTCGATGAGCCAAACAGCCGAGATTTTAACCGTCCGTGACGCTTAGCGTTGATTCCAGTCGATTTGCAACTGATTCTGATCATCGGTGGCCTGGTCGTCTGCGTGATCCTGATTGGCGTGATCATTATACTCATTCTGCAGTGCCGCGACCGCATCAAGCAGCCACGACCGAGGACGGCCCAGACCCAGGAGACTGATATGCGTGAGTGGAATATCATGTTAAAATGAATTATAACGGGCTCGGTCGCGTTTTGTTCTTTTTTCTTTTTTTCTTTTTTTTTTTTTTTTTTTTCTTTACAAGGCCCAGGCCTCGTTTCTCGCGCGATTTCGTCATTCCGATTCGAAAATTCTTCCTTTCTATTACGAGCGTGGCACTTTTTATCGGTCTATTCTCGGGGCGGAAAAATACAGTAACCACGGATGAAGGATAGCTCATTGAATGCAAACGAGGCCGATACACGTTTACGAGTCGTAAACGGGTTGGGCGTAGTCGACGCGCGACATTCAATGGTCCTTCACCGCCTTTCCAAACAGCTTGTTTATGGTTTATCTATATATCAACCGGCCCCTCCTCCTCCCCCCTCCCCCCCCATTTTGCATCGATTATACGCTTCAAAGTAGTTTATACGCGCGGCAAAGTTATCGCGCTACGCAGTCGTATCCACGCTCGAGCAATTTCTCTATCGCGATATTCGATAAATGGTCGCGACTCCACCCTTTTTAATCATTCACGAGCCGAGTTTACGTTATTCTAATTTGCATGTAACGTAATGTAACTCAATTCCGAACAATAGAGGCGGCTATGTAACTTTTTCTTTTTTTCTTTTCCCCCGAAATCTTTTGCTTTCACCCTGCCGCGATACCGATCTGTTTTTCAATTTCTTTTGTTTCGGCCACCGTACACCGACAGAAGAAACAGACTCGAACGCGGACAGGTATCGGGAAAGCGACAGAAGCAGCAATCTGTCGGACGTGAAGGCGGATATACGGGCTGGATCGAGCGTGAGCAACGCGGAAAGCGTGACGGCGCTCGACAGCGAGGGCGAGGGAAGCACGAGGGGTGTGAACGCTTTGGCGCTGGCCGGACCCGTCCCCAATCCCCTGGGTTATCGTTACAGCGCCGATTACACGGAGCCATCGTTCCCGCCAAAAAATAACGTGAGTACAGTGGAGTGAGCGAGTGGCGAGTGGCGGGTGACGAGTGATGGAAGGAGGGGAAGAAATGTTGAAAAATCGCGTCGCATGCACGAGCTCTCGAAATTTCTCTGTTCTCTGCGATCTCGCGCAGAGAAGATGCCAAGAACCGGAGCCAGAGCTTAATCTAGTTTATTGCGCGAAGAAGCACAGAGTTCCAAGAGTGCATATTAAAGCGTAGAATCTCTCTCTCTCCAGGGCATGCACTCTCGAGGACCGTGTAGATTTAATTTGCAGTTTTTAAGAATTTCCCACACCGAATCCTGATACCTACCACCTCCTTAACTTAACACCGCGTGGAACATTTGGAATTCGACCACGTTTCAGACCTTCCTTCTACTATGATAATCCGATCCTAATTTCTCTACACGCCGAACGAATTATGAGTCGGGGAAAAACCTAGAGAGCTTTCCCTTGACTCGCGAAACTTACGTTCGATCGGTCGATCGTTCGCAAGACGACCGTCTTGCATCCCGTCCAGCGAATTAATTTCAACCTTTGGCGCCTTTCCTTCGTATTTTTCACGAACGAAATGGATCCTCCTTTCGAAAAGAATACGAAGGAAACACGGAGTATTTTCGAAGAAGTTCTCAAAGATACTCGCTATAAACGAGCTACTTCTAAAAATTGTCGACGGGAAAAGTGGAAAAAATTTCCCGATCTTTAACATTTCCCATTTCGTTTCGATGTTGCAGGACGGCAGTAACAATAACGGTTACGTGCCGTACGTGGACTACACCCGCGACTACATGCCGCCCACGACGCAAGGTGTGGGAGCGTCGCGGGAATCCTTAAGCAGGATACCTTCCGGCGGCATACTGGCCTCGAAGAAGATCGGTCTGAGTTCCGCGAATTTGGGCAGCTCAACCCCTCAAACCACCCCCGCGATCGACCCGCGTTTCTCGGCAACGTATGGGAACCCCTACCTCAGGTAAAGTTCTTAGGGGTTTGGCTCCCGCCTCCCCTATCCCCGTCTATCGAGTGGGACTCGCGCCCCCTGTGTAATCGAGCCCGCAATCTAGTTCCACGTAGTCGTGTAATAGAGCAAGCTTTGACCAAACTGTAATTGTGTTTTCGCGTACAGTAATCCTGCAGAGGAGCGCATCAAAGACGATCGAATTATGCTCGAGCCGCGGTTCGAACGTGATATTTCGGTTCGAAGGAAACGTTCGTTCGAGGGAGGGGGAGATATTACGGGATGATCGATCGAATGGTGGAAAGATGCGACGAAAAGATGGGACGCTGGAGGAGAACGATGGCGCCCGATTTCGAGAACACACGTCGATACACACACATACACACGCACATATACGCACGAACACCGTGTACCGTACGTTAACGTTACGATATTTACGACGTATTGATTAACGGATTTGTTGCACCGTGTGTGCAATCGTTTCCGCGAATTAATTATATTCCACGTGAATTATGAATCGTGTATACGTATGTGTGCGCTTGTGTGTGTATCTGTCTTGAATATTTATAACGTCGGTTCGCGGAACCGGGCACCGTCGCCGGGGTTCAATATTAATCGGGCGAATCCGTGGTCGTCCTCGTTCGTCGTCGAACTCGTTTTCGACGACAGCGATTTATTTCTTGTAATATATCGATCACGCGCGTGAGAAAACCAGCCTGACACTTCTTTTCTCTCTTCTTTTATTTTCCTCGGAACAATAGAATGTCAGCAGCGGAGCAACTGAGACACGCGCCTCACACAGCTGTGCCGGGAGTAACGCCTGCACCACCGCCTTACACGCAAGCAATGAGAATGAATAGCTTGAATACCTTGAACGGCGCTGGACCGCAGGTTAGTACAATGCCGGCGAATGTGTGCCAAATTCCTAGATGCTAGTTACGACATCTCAGGTACATTCCTATCCCTCACCTGAACCAGTTCCAGAACTAGTTAGAATCTCTGTTCGACGTACTTGCACGATCGATTCTCTGATCGATTCTCTGATCGATCAAACCTTCTCTCCCCTATAATTTTTAACAAACCGTCCACAGGTTTCCGTCCAGAAAGGAAGCGACGGGCGAGGCTTTCCAATTGTCTGCATTTCGATTTCTGTCTTGCAGGCACCACTGTCGGCGCACTACATCACGGGCGGGCCGAACGGCGGAGTGGCGACGGTGAAACGCACCTCGGCGGTGGGGACGTTAGCGACGCATGTATGAGGCCAGGGGGTCTATCCGAACTAGAACCATCGACGTTCGGGCCTAACTAGTACCGCCTTCGGACCCACTCACCAACGCTCCAACGCTGTGAAAACGAGGCGAGGAGGGACGGTTCTCGCGGAGGGTGGTGCGGCGAGGATCTGTCGGGATCGTGGCGACATCGAAGCGAAGTGGAAGGATCGCGGCCGACGAGGATCGAGCGCGATCGCCGATGTCGAACGATTGCTCGACGGGGAAGCAAAGTCGAGGAAGGAAGTCGAGTCGAACAAGTTTCGGGTGAAGGGACACGGGGCGCAACGAATTGGTGAAAACGGGGAGGCGTTGAGATACATCGAGATGGTGCTACGACAATTGCGAAGAGCCAGCCGCGATCATCGAAAACTCGTGGAGCAACGATCGTTTCCTTCTTCCTCGACGTCGACGTGCCTCGACGAGTATCTTTCGGAGAGGTGGTCGGACGTTCGGGGAAGCCTGGCGATTGGACGGGGGCAAAGAAGTAGTACGTCCGAAAAGGAGGGCGGCGTCTCGAGAGAGACGGTTGACGAAAGGTTGTTGCGAGAAGTTGGAGGATCGAGGAAGGAAGAACCGCAAGAGCTTGTCGAACTCCCCTGCACGGACGTCACGAGGAAATTGTTGGCGAAGAGGAAGCCGTACGCGAGGGGAATTTACCTATTAGAAAGGATGCCCAGGAGGATCCACGAGAGGATGAGCGTGGCGGGTCGACATGGTTTACGGGGATACGTTCCTGCGTACGAAGGAATTGATACCACGATCATTCGATGAGGTGTGTCCGAGCTTTTTCGCCTTAAATGTCTCGTTCGCGTAAGATTGGCCGGGAGCGAGATCGCAAAAAAGAGCCTGGTCGAGGAGCGATTCGACCTATATGGGTGGATCGATCCAAGTGAATGCGAGGAATGGAACGAGGAAACTTGTATCGAATAATGGCGAGCAAAGGGTGACCGGTCGAATCGATCAGCCTGAGCGTACACCTGGTATTCTATTTAAGAAGACTGACTAACTTGATGGGCAAGAAGATTCCTTCATCCACTCGGAAACACAGTGTATTTTTTTCTATCGTCTAATAGGAATAAAAAAAATAATCGACTTTGCACATCGAAAGGAATGGAAGAGGGGAGAAATGATCGTGAAAGTGGAAGCGATGCGATTTTTTCGAAAATGAAAAGAAAGAAAGAAATTGAGCCGAGAAGAAAGAAGACGAGGAAAGGAAACGAGGACGATCGGAAGTTGGACGGTTAGTTGGATGAGTTGGAGAGGGGCGAAGGACGGTGGTTAGATTCGTAAATCGAAGGAGCTCTTCGGAACGAGAACAGACCACTCGGTATCGACAATCTTTTATTCGCATACTTATATAGATCTCGATAAGCATTTAACGTTCATTCGAAGAAGAAACGTAACGAAAATGGGAATCGAATCTCATAGCGTTGATCGTTGCGGTCGTAAGTAGCAGTCTTACCTTTGTAAAGCGTCGTGATTCGAATCCACGTGATTAAACGTGGAACAATTATGGAGCAATTATGCTTGTGGAAAAGGATATTTCGCGTTTCTGTACATGTGATACGTAGACGGATGTCCAAGTCGGAAATGACGTGTTCGAAATTGTTGGATCGCGTCGCAGATCGGCGGACGGACAACGTCTCGGCTGCTACTTCGACGTCACTGCGTCGCGTTGCCTTTTTTTATTTGTAGGGAAAAAAAAAAAAATGTTAGATCTCGCGGAAATATATTCGCGGATAAGCGAATAGAGAGGAAACTCAGCCAAGATCGTGCCGCTTGTATGACAAGATCGATCACGATCTCGTTATCACCTTACGGCCTGGGGAATCTTCGGTGAGGAGAGAGAGGACGCGCGTTTGAGTAAGCTACGCGCGTTCCACAGGTCGTAAAAATTTGTAAAATAGATAGCTAAAATGATTAGGTATATACATATATATATATATAAATATATCACCTGTTGTCAATACGAACATAGGGCCTATAGTTTGGTGGCGCTACAAAAGCAAAAACTTTATCGAAATAAGCTCGTTCTTGGATGGAACAGCTTCGTGTAAATAACAAAATTAATAACGATATTAAAATAATAGACGAGCAGATAGATAAAAAATTCTCGAAAGAGGAATAATAACTGGTCGAGAAATCACGGTTTAATTGTATCGCTCGTTATCGAATTAAGTTCGTTTCTTTCTTCGAAAATATTTTCCCCGTTCGTTTGCAACGTCTGTAGCTCATTGAACGAGGATTTGGATTTATCGAATTTCTCTCCTCGGCGATGATCTATGGCCTCGAGTTAAAAAAAGAAAAGTTTTAAATTAAATTAAAATAAGAAAATAGACGAACGCATCGTTGACTCGCGACTTACGATAATACGAACGTACGGCGAGAATAAATACCATTGATTACGAAAACGAAACAGGGTAGCCTATCAATTATTAAAACGATTCCGAAAGAAAAGGCTGCACACTATGGATTGGTAGTCCCCATATTCGCGTGGTGCGTCGGTGATCAATTGAGTTTGAAAAAAAAAAAAAAGAAAGAAAAAAGAAAAAGAAAAAAAAGAAGAAGAGGAAAAAATTTAAAAGAAGAAAAAATAGAGCTCGAGCAAACGTGTCGGTGCGACGATGATGGGAACTCGTATAAACGATGACGGTGATTCGTCGTCGCGTGTTCATCAATTAGGAGAACGAATATACATTTGTATATGTATCGAGAAGATATCTTTATATTGAGACGTATGTAACATAATTTCTGTACATAACTGGAATTATTGCTCACCGTATCTCGTAAGATTTAGTTAGTTTTGTAACTAAGTGAAAAGAAAGAAAAAAAATTAATAACACTATGTGCATATCTGATTTAACTGCGCGGACAATTTCGCGACGGACAGTTCCCCTCGAAAGTTCTCGACCCTGTCGTCGTAGATCGGAAAAAGAAGAAGAAGAAGAAGAAGAAGAAAAAAATAAAAATAAAAATAAAAATCAGTATTCGTAATAATAATAATAATAATAATAATAATATTAATAATAATAATAATAATAAACACTTCCTTCCTATCGAGAACTCTCGTTCTCACATTCCACGATCGATCTTGATCGTGCGCGTAGTCCGTCGTCAAGAAAACGATCAGTTCCTCTCGGTTCGCGCTCGATTCGTTTCGTCGAGGGGAACGCGATCAAGTCGAATACGAGATTATACAGTCTAGTATTATCGTACTCTTTAAGCATTTTTTCCTCTCGCAATTCGACGATTCCGTTCTTCTCGCCGCGATATCGACCAACTTCGTCGACGGAGTCTCCCATTTCCGGGCCATGGAACTGTCCACCGGAAGTCCAGCTTTATTGTACATCAATCACTCTGTACAATGTTCATCCTGATGTTACTGTTAACTATTTAAAAAAAGAAGAAAAAAAAAAAAGAGTGGAAGCATACGAGAGTGAGCGTGAGAACGAGCGTGAGAGAACGAGAGAGAGAGAGAGAGAGAGAATTTCGAAACTTTCACATTCAAAGCGCGCAAACGAAATCCTGTGCGCATGCGCGCGTGCCAAACGCTAGTGCGCGATTTCAGGGCACACGCGCTTGCGCGCACGATCGCACACGTCACGTGTAAAATGTATAAATGCTTGGTGAAATTCCGATATTGTACAGGTTTAACGGGGAGAAGAAAAAGAAACAAAAGACACGTAGAAACGTAAAGGGGAACGCCATGTTTAGATGATGGCAACGATGCCATGCCGAAAAAAAAATGAGAAAGAGAGAGAGAGAGAGAGACAGAGATATCTATACATACAGACACATGATTTCTATTATAAAGAGATGTAGGTTATAACGAAGTATACCGCGGGAAGTAATTACAATCAATGTACTGGATGGTCCAGGGCGATGTTAAAATTAGAAAAGTTTATGTCGTTTGAACCTTAGAAGTTTGCGCCTTCTTGCCGCAGGGCCATCCTATACGTATTAATTGGTTATCTGTCAATTATTAATTAAATTATATCGATTTCTTCGCCTTTAGTCAAGGAAAGAAACGAGAGTCGTCGCGAAATTTCCTCATCGCACGTCGCTGTTCAATTAATCGCGCGCAATACACTACTCTGTACACTCTTCTCGCGAATCTTCCCCCATCCCTTATCCCGGTCTAAGGAAGAAATTCGCGAAGAAGTTGTGCGATCGACGACTTCGAATAGTTTATTTTTCTATAGTGCAATCATTTCGTTTTCGTGCAATTCCCGACCTCGTTGTTTTTTCATTGAAAAGTTTATATTCTCGCGAAACACGCAAACTCGCGCGCCCCTTTGAGAAGAGGATCTCGAAACGTGTTACGACGCTGTTTCGATGGGGAAATTTCGCCTGCCGACTCGGTCGACGTGTATTTTATATATAAAGCGCGTCGATTGTTAGGCAAATTCATTTTACGAAATCCTGTGACGAAACGCTTACGCGTTTTTTTTCTAAATGCGCGCGAAAACGAGAATGAGAAAAAGAAGGGACGAAGAATGAGAGGATAATGTTGCCTAAAATCGGGTGAGCGAGGGAAGTTTTTTCAAATTTGTTGATACATTTCATACTTTACGATTAGGGATTATGGCCTATTACTAACTATTTCGCAAACCTTATCCGACGATTCGATCGTTTTTTCTTTTTTTTTATTATTATTGCGCGTTATCACACGTTATGGAACAACCGCGGTGCTTAAATTGAGATATCCCATTTCATGAAATGAAAGAAGTAACAAAGCAAAAAAAAAAAAAAAAAAAAAAAGAAAAAAGAGAAAGAAAGAGGAAGAAAACGTCCCGATTGAATGAGATGTGCCATACTATTCATCGTATAAATAACGCTCTTACGCTCTCGAATCGAAAGGTGAGAACTCGTGAACGAATCGAGAAATACGACAAAAAAAGTTATCGATCTTCGAACGAGAAATATGAATCACCGTGGATAAAGCTTGATAACGGGGGAGGGTATTTTAAAAAAAAAACGATCGAATCGTCTGCCCGCGCATTTGTGAAATGGAAAGTGACTTTTTAGAAAATGAACACTTTTTCGCGTGCTATCCATGAAAAGCTACGTTAAACACGTCGCATCGATTACCGAGTATAGGGAAAAAAAAAAAAAAAAAAAAAGAAAAGAAAAGAAAAGAAAAAAAAAATAACGCTATTTCGAATTCGACTGACCGACATATAGGAGATACAATTTATATATACCCCCATATTTTTCTCGATGTTAAAGCTTTTTTCTCAGAACGCGTTACGCGGCGTGTAATACTGCCCGCGAAAAAGGAATTCAAGCGAATCGTTGCGAATTTTTCGAATTATCGGCGTATCGTTTGTATAATATAGCGGGGAGGATCCGATCGACTGCGATCGTTATCACACGAGTATCGCAAGGGCGGTGGAGAAATGAAAAGAAAAAAAATGGGGAAAAAGGATGATCGTTCTGAAGCGATTCGAGCACTTCTGATTCAGATCGATCATCCCGTTCGATCATTTTTACAAATTTTTGAATTTCGAAACGAATATCTACTCCTTTTTTTTTTTTTTTACTTCTTAATGCAATGTATTAACAAAGGGAAGAGAATCGATGAGTTTGGAAAAAAGAAACCTGTTACGTTTTCTACAGAAGAGAGAAAAAAAGAAAAAAAAAAAAAGAAAGAAAGAAGTTTTCAACGTACACCGTGTGTAGTAATCTCGACCAATAATAATTTTGATACGAACGCGCCTGGAATTTATTCGACTTTGGTATGTCTCGAACGACAGCGCTTGGGAACAATTTAACGAAAACGCACTCTTATAGCACACTCGTCCCCGATATTAATAAAACGTCACCTCCGTGAAATAATCTCTTTCGATGAACCGTTTCGGATTAACCGTATCGAATATATCTCCTTCAACCGTTTCATCCACTTTACAAATACGATAGACTGTTACCGTAACGCTAAACGAAACGAACAAAATAGAAAAGAAAAGACTGTAATCGACTGCTCGTTGAAAATTGTATCGAACAATCGCGATGCATGATAAATTCGCGTACGAAGAGGTCGGTGCACGAGTCGCGTGACTCGGTTTGGAACAATCTCTCGTATAAAATGAGAAAAGGAGGAAAAAAAAAAAAAGAAAAAAAAGAAAAAGACACGGAAGAATAGCTCGTGGTAATAATTAGGAACGTTCGCGATATCTGTTAGAAAGATCATGTTACGACAAACATGTTATTACCATTATTTTTCTGTCGTCCTGTGTTCCTTTTCTTCGCTTTTTCTTCCTCTATATATATATATTTTTTTCTTTAAAAATGGTACTCCCTTTTTTTTTTCTCGTCGTCGCGGCCCTATATTCGCGTTTCCCGAGTCTCAAGCTCGACTCGAACTCGTCGTCGACTCACACACACACACACATAATTAAACTGCGCACAATGGATTTTCAATTATGTACGGAAATGCAACAAAGTTCTTGCAACGTTCTCCGACCAGGCAACGAAACCTGGCGAAAGTTTATACGTTTCGAAAGAAAATACGTTTCGAGAGGAAAACTCGCGTAGGAGAGCGTGGTCCGCAACAATGGCCAATTATCGCGAAAACGCGTGCGCTAATTGTGGAAAACGATTGGTCGAGGTACAGTTTGAGAAAGGAAACGACGATGGAAATGGTAACAAAATCATCTTAACGTAACGCATTTTAATAACGGGAGAAGTCTCGCGGCGCGAACACCACGCCCGGCGAAAAGTAAATTAACCGAATGAAAGGTAACTCGATCTAAAAGAAATACATTGGAACTCGAAGGAAACTCTAGCAACGCGATTAAATGCAAGAACTTTTGTTGAGAGGCCGTTACGTCCTGGACGCTATCGCGCATCGAATTGGCAAACTTCGCGAGCCCGAGCCGCGCCGAACGAATAAAGTTCACCGAAATACTATCCACCCCATCTTCTCCACTCCACTCCTATTTGATAACGAGTTATTATCGATCCGTTTACGCGCGTTCAGTAACATACTATTTTCAACCGCAAACTTTTTTTAACGCCAATTTTTCGAACGAACCATTTTTTGATCGAAAGTGAACCGGTATTCCGTTGACCAAAAAATAAAAAAAAAAAAAAAAAAAAGAAAGAAAGAAAGAAAAAGAAAAAAAAAGAAAATAAATGAAATTAACGTTACGTACGCACGCCTTACAACCGATACTCGGTACGTTGTTATTTTGTCAACGAATCGATCGATATCGATGATCCTTCGACGAAACACGAACAGAAGTGCGCCAAGTGGATTATAGGATAAAGGTGAAAAAAAAGATGAGTGAGGAGAAGAATAAATATTTCGTGTAAATATTTCGAACGCTAGAGATTTGACTACGAAACAGCGAAAATCATCCTTTTTTTAGTGTACATTACTTTGTATTATAATAGCCTAAAAAGAAAAAGGGAAAAAAAAAAAAGATTTAGCTAGATACTTTTTTGAGATCTCCATGCGAAGAGCGAAGGGAAGGAAGAAGAGGGTCGCCGTTTCTGGGATTTTTGTTCATCGATGTTCTTTCTATCGCGCTGCCCGACCGAAAATCGAATCGCCGCGAACGCGATACGGGAAAAAAAAATCAAAGAATTATGATCGCAGTGAATTTCGTAGCTCAGTAATTTTCGAGCGCGACAAGCGCTCTTCCAGGGTAACAGAACAGATCGTACTCAGAATTTTCAGATGCACGAACGAATCATATGTGTCGTCGCTTCAACGATCTTTTTTTTTTTTTTTTTNTTTTTTTTTTTTTTTTTTTTTTTTTTCACGTTTCAACCAAGGAACCAGGTCAATTCGTCGGAAACGATACACTTTTTATATATATCCGCATGAAAGAGATAATTAGATAAATACAAAATGGAAAATGTTCGCGCGCGAAAGAATGTACGCTTCGAGAATCACGGAACTTTTTTGATCGTCGATCTCCGTATTGGTTCGATCGCAATTCGATCAAAAATTCCTCGCATGTACCTGTAGCGCAAAGATCGGGCGCGGAAGCGAAGACCACGGGAAAGACCACGTATTATTCGCACAAGATCTTCCGTTAGCGAGAAAACAAATTTTAATGAAAACGGAGAGAAAGAGAGAAAGAGAGAGAGAATGAGAGAATGAGAGAATGAGAGAGAGCGCGTTTTGGAAGAATGAAAAAGAGCGAAAGAGAGATAAACAGAGATTTTTTTTCCTTAGGAATGGAGGTACGTAACGCAAAAGAAAAAAAAGCTAGCCGAGTCTTACTCTTCGATATCGACAGTGTGCCAATGAAATAAAAAAAAAGAAAAACATTTTTATTCCGAGTTTAGCTAAAGTCTGTCGCATTTTTTCATTCGTCTCCGATACACTTCGTGCATAAATGCATACGCGCGCGCGCGCGCGCACACGCACACGCACGATATAGATATAACCGTAAGGATATGTAAGTACAAAGAAACAAAGAGGGAGAGAAAATAAAAAAAAAAGAAGCTTTGAAATTTTCGATATTTTCCGCGTCGCGGCAGTCGATAGGTATTAAACGCGTGCCCTTATCACTGATGTACACGTGCTCGATAAAACATTGACATTGGAATTTTTGTGCTTTCCGCTCAGCCCACCCGTTTTCCCCACGCCACGCACACATAAACACACTCGCTCTTTGATCGAATTTCGTTTCGCGATTTTTTTTCTTTTTTTTTTTTTTTTTTTCCGTTCGATTTCTTTTAATTTCTTTCTCTTTCTCCTGCCCGCAGAACTAAATTTTACGAGACGGGATGACGTTCCTTTTCTTTCTTTCTTTCTTTCTTGCAATACGTATGATGAAAGAAGAAAAAAGAAAAGAAACGAAAAGACCAAAGAGATGTTTATTTTAATGTTGTGTATATTAATTGTTTATGTCGTATAATATTTGACGATGCATTTATCCATGCGTTACACCGAGTGCTTTAATTATTCTTTCTCCTCTTTTCTTTTTTTTTTTTCAATTATTATCATTAAGCATAAGTATATATATTCTTATATATGTATATTGGAATATGATTTTTTTTTTTTTTTAAATAAATATCTCATCGTCTATTATCATAATCATCGCGATCGATCGGCGCAATATTTTATACTTGTAAGGTGTATATTTTGTTTACACATGGAGTTCATCCATCAGGCATCATTATAACAACAACGATTTTTATTATTACAATTATTTATAGTTGATTGATTTACACATTAATTATTAAGCAGCCAGTGCCGTTTATTTTATATTTTTTTCATAGAATGTAATGTGTATCACTGCTGTTATCATATTTTATTAAATCTTTGCCATATAACACTCCCTTAGTCTCACGATTTCACCCTTCATTATCAATATGAGACGATTTTTCTTCTTGTCTCATCGCAATTCTTCTCCCGCTGCAATCTATTCCCTTTTCACCTCCTTTTCTTCATAACTCTATATACCATGATCGTAATAAAGTCGATCCTTGATATATATATATATATATATATATATATATATCGAGCTAACATATTGAGCTTTTTCTTATTACATTTCTATCGTATTACATTTGCTTTAATTTTTTCGCAAAAAATTAATCAAAAACAAAAATGAGCGGAAAAATAAAGACGGAATATTTACAGAGATAATATCGAAGAAATGAAAATTTTTTCCGATACACAAAAAAAAAAAAAAAAAGAAAAATACTCCCAGATACATCGAAGAATCGCATACGTTTTTCTTTCGACCGCCGAGTGCGTGCAATATCGAGTGATTTCATGTTTCTCACACGTCTTAAAGCAGCATACATCGAGACATATTGTTGCTTTGCAAACCTTATAAATGCACTTGAGCACGCATATCCTCTCGCGAGCGCCGTCTTTCGTACTCTTTTGCTCCCCTCGTGCGGAAACAAGAGCGAACAACGCCTCACGCTTTGTTCGCCAATCCTCTGGGTATAATAAGGAGTATTTCGCGTCACGCAAACCCGGGGTGTTCTCTTCATTTTCCTGATTCTCTCAGAGATGTAACTTCTTCTTCTTCTATCTAGCGTGATGACAATTGATTTCTCGATATAGCGTTATAATTCTATAACGAAGTACGCCGGTTCTGGGCCTTGCAGCCACCCTATACACGAAATTTAGAAATTCGACTATTTAGAAATAAATCGTGTTCCGCTCGAGAATCGCTGCAAGATCCGGAATCATCGCTTCCTCTGTTACTTCCTTACATTAAATGTCGGTGACTTTTGTCCTAGCCGGAGGGACCGACTTCGGGCAAAAATCAACTGTCTGTTCACGTCGAGGGAAATAATAAAATAGATTATTTCACATAGCACACAGTTTAATAAACTGTAAACGAAAGCAATGAAAGAAAATAATGCTATTTTTATATGTTGCATCGTCTGCCGTGGTGACCTAGAGTTATACGAACTATATTTGAGTTCACTCCTTTATTGATTCCGTGTATCAATTGGGCCATTTCGTGTCATACTTCTGGGCCATTTCTGTTTCCGTTTCAATTTTTCAACGCGATAGATCGTAGATATTATGTATCGTGTTTGGATATTTACCGAAGAAATCGCAAAATTTCTTTTTCAATCATGATCATGATTTCGTCGATGATATTTTGTTATATTTTGTAAATGAAGTTAATAGAGTATCGTTTGAATAATGTCGTTAGAAATTGTGAGAAGCATTCTCATATAATTTGATGAAGAATGTCCCTATAATATTAATATCATCACATTAGCAGCTTAGAAATAAATGACAGAAATATTTCTAAAGATGATCCAAAGGATGCTCTTGCTCACAATTGATCTAGATTACTACATTAAGATTTACTATTATTGTATTATTATTACTATATCTACATTCCTTTTAAAAATCTACCACTATTACTTTACAAAACCATCTGTAAATAAGTATTTTGTATTCCTGCAAGAATAAAATTACGAATCATTAATCGTGTATGTAATATTTTTACCATTATCATTAGAATCATGATAGTTTCAGATATAAATATGGATTATGAATACACGTTATGTCTCGTAAAAAATTTTTATTCTTGAATATAGAAAAATTTTGTGTGCCATTTTCTCGTTATATACGATACAAAATCCTAATACAAAATCAAAATTTCTGATAGTAAAAAAAAAAAAAAATAGATTCGACAAATAAATCTTCAATAATGTTTTTAAATTTAGAATGTTTTAAAATTCCTTCCTACTCCCTTTACAAGGTTTTAAATTTCACCGCTATCGTCAAGAGGTGCCTCGAGTCAAAACATTCACGTTAGATATCAGGGCATATTATATTTTATAAGATCGTCATCCTAAAGATATAATATAAAATCGAGAATGTAACATCTATATTTTTTACATTAATAGTTAAGACACATTGTAGCTTTAAAAGAAAAATAATGAAAATATATTCTATTGTTCTACATCGCATTTATGATTATGCGTTAAGAGGAAGAAAATAGAAACAAAAAGAAACAATAGAACAAATAGAAAAAAGACAGAGATAAGATAAAAATTCAGGAATCAGCACCATCTTTTGAGTATTTTTGAAGGCATATCTTTAGAATTCAAAAGATGGCGCAGACTATCGATTCTTATCCTATCTTTCTCTTTAACTATTTTCTGATCTTATACATATTATTTAATAATATAATACTCTTATATTTAGTTTAGTCATAGTTTTTAAAATTTAGTAAAATTAAGTTTTAAGTTTCAAATCATTATTAATGTTATAATTCTTTTCTATACGATATGTTTTATTATATAACGCTTACAATAGAAATATTCGTATTTTAAATAATATTTGAAATTTAAATTCATTAAAATTACTATTTAAATATTCGTAAAATAGGCAATTTAAGGATTTTTTTTTAGCTTCTAATTTATTTTTTTTTTTATTTTCACAAAATTTCACATTGGATATAACATATATTTTATTTCTAATTATATAAAGAATTACATATGAAAATTAATTTAAAATAATCATTATTTTCTAACTTCTAATCAATATTTATAATATGTAATGATATCATTCACGATTTTAATATTGACAACAAATAAAAATAAACTAGCTATCCAAATATACGTAAAAGTATTTAATCCTTTGAATTCCAATAAATAAGCAGCTAATAACCAAACGCTTTGACTAAGGATCCAAATAAAACATAGAAATAGTGATCTATGAATGCTTAATCCAAACCGTGAAAGACATAATGGCAATAAAGATAAATACCAAAAAAAGTATTGTGATGTTAATACCGGATTATATGTTACTATTATCATGGCCTGTGTAAACATTACAAATGGCAATAAAGATTTATTTGAATATTTATATGATAATAATAAGAGCAATATCAATTGCGGTAAAAACATGAAAATTTTTTCAATTATATTAGGAGGATAATTAGCAGATAAATATAACATGTAAAAATAAACAGAAAAATTATGTTTAGTATCTTTACGTGTAATATGGTAAATAAAACTTTCGTAAATATATTTATAACCATAGAAATAGTAATTAATAATTGTTAAACAAATAATCAAGGATATACAACTAATTACTAATTTTAACTGATTCTTGTTTGGTATAAAGTAATTTTTATTTTGAAGGGAAAAATATATAGATATACTAAATATTATAGGATATAATCTAAAATGAATTGATAAGGCATGACATAAACCTGCTAAAACGAATTTATCTTTCAAAAATAAATATAAAGTTAGCATAATTAAAAAAACTGTCATAGTATCCGCATTTCCTCTGGTTGAAATTACGATCGTGAAAGGATTATAGAGCCATATAAAAGTACATATATCTTGCTTATTACAATTTTGTAAAATTAAGATTTTTTTTATCAAAATGGTTACCAAAATATCAACAAAAGAAAATAAGATTTTTCCAAAATTTTCATTTATGAAAATATTTGGTGTTAAAAGCAAAGCCAATAATGGTGTATAACGATATGTATTTCGCTCAAATGGAGATGATCCTTCTATTATATATCGTGCAGCATCTGTAAATACCTTATAATCCATATCAGTGTATGGAACACTGAAAGTTTTATCATGATAATTTGAATAAAAAACTAAAGTGATTCTAAATAAGAAACCTAATATACAATGTGTCTTAAATGATAACTCATTCATTTTGAAGTTTTAAATATATCTTTTAACATTAAATAAAATTGTATTTATTTTTATAATCTTATATTATTTTTTGCAGCAGCTTTCATTAAACATGCCTTAAATTCCTTAAACTCATTTTCACAATCATCTTTTTGTAAGTTGGATTTTGCCAATACACATGCAGCATATTTAACTCCAGATTCATGGCATTGTGCAACAATAATAGGATACTTTCTAAATCGTTCTTTTGCCTTTTTTACTGCTTCCATCTTTAACTACATATTATTATATTATTTACTACATATCAATATATATATATATATATATATGTATATATATTAAATGTATAAATTTACTATTTATGAAACATTATTTATTAAAATGTTAAATTAAATTTACTTTGATTTCTTTTTTGGAAGTTTTGGTACTTGTGAAGTTTGATATAAGGTCCATAGAACTAGACCTACTGCAAAAACATTAACACCTCTGATTATGTTAGTTTTTAATTTTTCGTTCATCATGATGAATCCTATTTCTGGGCTTTTCTCTGAAACAAAATCAAATAAATCAATAATCATTTTTCATAATGAGAGGATTAAGATTGAGAAATATAGCAAGATATATAATATATAATATTATTTATATTATTTATATTATTTATATAGTAAAATATTATTTTTTATACATACATAATCTACAGTATTATGCTCGTATGGTTTAGAAATATCTATACCATCACAAACTATTGAAGAAGCAAAATGTATGATGCAACACTGTCTTATTTCCTCTAATACTTTTTCGCAACGTGATGGTTGATATACGTTATCTAAAATTAATCAATTTAAAAATATATATTATATATTTAAATATATATATTTAAATATAATATTATAATTATAATATTATAATATTATAATTATATATAAAGAAAAATTAGAATAAATTTATCATAACCTCAAATAAAATTACACGAATAATACCTTTTAAGCACTGCTGTAATTTACATGCAAACTTTTTACATGGATCATTTGTCGTCATACGAAAAAATTAAATATATTTGTAGATTTATAAACGTTCAATGAACTAAATCTTATATAATCTAATGTTACAATTAGATCGATCGCACCGCTAACGGGAATAAAAAATATTTTAAAATTAAATTTTTCAATTATAAAATGCGCAAATATAATATTTTTATTTAAATATATATTAATAAAATTTAAATATATATTAATAATAATATATTAAATTTTTACCTTTAATATAATAAGCTAGCAACAAGATATATAAAAATTGCTTGAATAACCTTATTCACATATAACCTTAATTCATATATAGTGTAACAATATTAGATAGATGGCACTCTAAAACATACTGTGTCATAGCAGACTAAAAATTTTCATACAGGTATATACACATAGTGTCATCAACGAATGTGTTAGGTTAAATTATACAAGCTTTTTGCTAATATTAACAAAAGTATAACAATGTTGGGAAAGATCAAAACAAAACAAGAGAAAGGAGGTAAATAACAAAATATTAACTATTATTTTTTCAATTATGTGTTCATTTTATAACAAACTTTTGGCATTTCTTATAGGTTATGTTTTTATTCAATAATATTGTATATAAATATAAAAGATACGTAGATTTATATCATATAAATTTATATAAAAAAAAAATGTTAAGATTTTAATTTCATTATTAAAAATGATGTAATTTTTTGTATTTTATATATATTTTATTACTTTATAAATGAAGTAATTTTGAGTTTAAATTTTTTAATTATTTATTTTCATATTAAGATAAATATATTTTCTAATATTAAATTTTTTTTAGAGATCATTGCATATAGTGAATCTGCTGTTGTAAATAATGCTGCAGTAGTAGAATATTGTAGGATATCAATGGCAGCATTATCAGGTGGCACAGCTGGTTTATTAGGATTAACTGGATTATATGGTTTTGGTTTTTACATTTTTGCTGTATTTGGATTATGGGTAAGAATAATTTTTAAAAATATTATTATTTAATAAAAAAATTGTTATTATTTAATATTATTTAATAAATAAAAAATATTTCTATAGGCAATGTTATTGTTAAAAGCTGGAGGTCAATGGAAAAAATATTTTATAAGTAGACGAAATCTTCTAACTAGTGGATTTTTTGGAGGCCTTTTTGTATCCTTTATAATATAATAAAAAAAGATAATTATTAAATATTACTATAAAATGTAAATATTTTCCTTAACAAATCTTATACTCGTACAATAGACATATGTGCTGTTTTGGACGTATCCTTTCTAAACATTGAATATTATTATTTGAATAAAAAAAAAAATTAATTTCATATATTTGTGAAATATTCTGTGTCAATGCTATATTTTTCCTTAATTTAATATTAGATTTTTATATGGAATGGTACATGTATACTGATTAAAAGAATATTTAGATTTAAGGGTTTATATTTTTTAACTAAATATATCGTTAACTAATTAAATATATCACAAATAATTGCCAGTTACTGGTTAGAGTAATAATATTGTTGATAAAGCACTATGTGATTTATTGTATATGTATGTACATAGAACATTTTCAAAAATACATTTATTTCATCTGTTCCATTTGTTTCTTATTATTCATTATTGTATTATTCCTAGAATATAAGTATATAATAATTGTAAATGTAATTAATTTATATTTATTTCTTTGTTTTTATAATATATATATAATAAGTAACATGGTATATAAACAATGTAAACATAAAAAACATAAAATCGTAGGATGAATTGTCTGATATGATAACACTTTACTTACTGAACACAGTTTTTTTTTAAATATTCGAAGCATGATTAGAATAAAATGCTTTATTTCATTATTAAAATCAATAAACGATAACACATATATAATCTCAAAATGATAAGTTAAAATTCAGACATAAATTTTATGTTTAATTTTCTGTACAATATAATTTTCAATTAATTTTTATCAATTCTTAAAATTGCAACATCCGATTCACAATGATATTGCTTTGTACTTAACATGCTCGCGTTTTTGATATTTTGTATATCGCTATATTATATTTGTTTTATATTTTTAAAAAATTCATGATTTATTAGAGTTATTTATTTAATTTTTATTATGATTAAAATTTCAAAATTTTGACAGTGAAAAGATAAAATTTTATTTCTGTCAATCCTAATGGATGCCGATGTGTTAAGTTAATTTGAATGTGTGAGTGAGCATAATTTTTTTCATTTTATGTTACCGTTCAAGAAATTAAAGAAAGCATACGAAATAAAGTCAATATTCTTGCAAATTAAATCTTTGTTTCGGAACTTTCCTCCGGAGCAAGTGTAGTATCATCTTGCTGACAGCTCTCCAAAATATTTTGAAGAGGTGTTCCCATTTCAAGACCCTCTAATTTCTTTTCTTGATCCATTTTATCCAATTCAGCTTTACTCAAATGATAAACTATTCCAGCCCCGTATCCATCGCCCAAAACATTGATCGAGGTTCTGATTCGATCCCTTCGAACAAAAATTTCAAAAAAATTTATATTATTCCATCTTGCGTCGCATTATTTTTTTTTTAAATAACAAACTTACAACATCCAGTCAACTGCAAACAATAAAGAAATATCGTTGGTTGGTAAACCCAAAGCTGTAAGCACTATTAACATCGTAATCAAAGCCGCGCTGGGAATACTTGCTGCACCTATACTTGCCAAGGTAGCTGTGAAACTACGTAGATGAAGGTGATCCATAAATAAATAATAGTCGCATACTTCTATGGTATCGATCATACAAACCTGACCGTTATAACTTCACCTAATCCTAACGAAATTCCATTCATTTGTGCGATAAAAATCGCGGCAACCGCTTCGTAAAGAGCCGTTCCATCCATATTTACCGTAGCTCCAACTGCTACTACGAATCGTGTTACACGTGAATCGATTTTATTATTTTCTTCGAGGCATCGAAAAGTTATAGGTAAAGTTGCGGCACTAATGACATTACAAAAGAAAAAAAATATTACATAATTGTAATACGAGTAATAAAAGTACTTAAAAAAAGAAAAAAAAAGAAAAGAAAATATCAATACTACCTTGATGCTGTTCCTAACGCTGTCATCCAAGCTTGCATCATACCCCTGAAAAATGTGGCAGGATTCTTTCGAGTTAAAAACCAAAATATCGTTGGCAGAGTGATTACTGCGTGAAACAATAAGCCCAATATGACTGTCACCATGTATAGGCCTAACATCTGAGCAGTTGCCGTCAAATTGTTAATCGACATTATTTTACCAGCTATCAGACACATAATTCCGAACGGAGAGTACCTACACGAGAGATAAAAATTTGAAAGCGAGTTTTAACAAGCACTATATTAAATTATCATCTTGACAATACCGCTCACCACATGATAATAATACCGACAAGTTTCATGATTATTTCGTTCAAAACCATGAAGAAGTCGACGATTAATTTCCCTTGAGCGCCAAATTGTCCAGCAACAAGTCCAAATGTGATGCAAAACACTATCATGCCCATCACATTCATTCCATCCTTGTACACTAACGTTGCCTCTTGTATTTGAGTAATTTCACTTGTAGTTCCTATAGCAACTTCCTTCGTCACGTAAGTAGTTTGCGCCTGCTGGAAGCACGCCTGCACCAAATTTTCCGGCACCATGTTTCTAGAAATGGTATTTGCCGATAATACACAACGCGATTTCTCATATATTTCACGTACCTAATTATATCGAGGATAGCGTCTAACGTAGAAATTTTTGTATAGTCCGCCTTGTGCGCGGTTATAACAGATTTAATTCTAGGATCACCGGGATGGATTATTAATACCATTACGATACCAACTATTGCCGCGAGAATGGTCGTTACGGTGTAATATAACAATGCTCTGTATCCCATTCTTCCTGAACCCTTAGGGTCCAATTGTGCCATTCCTAAAAAAGAAAAAAGAAAAAAAAAAGAAGGGAGAACTTAGAGACCAACTGTGTATGATTCCAATGTATGTTCCAGAATATTGCATAATTACCAGAGATAAGCGACGAGACAATGAGTGGTAGTATGAACATCTTTAAAAGTCGCATAAGAAGTTCTCCGGGGAAACTGATAAGAGTAATTGATTGTGGCGTGGGATTAGCTAATCGACCGAGAAATCCAAGAATAAGTCCGACCAGGACTGCAGCGATCGTAAAGACCAAAAGCATGTTCTCCCTGAACCAATCCACCACCTATGTTCACGTTCAAACACGAGATATGAATGAGATACAACGTAAAAACTGTCGAAAGAAGAAATACATTGATACGACTAACTCGTTGCAATCTGTCGAGCGGGGTGATTGCCTTGTGGCAAATTTTTTCTTCCTCCACAGTGGTTATCTTTTCGATTTCATCGGAAGTTGACCTAGAAATTGATCTAGGTTAAAAATCAATTCGTAAAAAAATATGATGAAAATTCACAAATCTTACGTTTGGGCCTCTTTGACTTCGGAAGTGCCTCTGAGGACAGCGACGGCCCCAGATATACGTTGCCCGAGAGACATCGTGGTCGATTCGGTGATTACTTTAAGATCTTTTAAACAGTCTTCCTCCTTTCTTTCCGAGGAAGATCACGGAGAATTCGTACCCGTTCATACCGCGGCTTTCACCGCTGCAGCATATTTATTTTCAAAACGAACCTCTTCACTCTTATATAAATTCTCTTTAACCAAAACCAAAAAAAAAAAAAAAAAGAACTTCGTATTCCTCTTACGTACAACACAGGATCATTGTAATCGTAAAATTGTTTATCATTGTTTATTGTCGATGAAAAATAAAAAGCGAATATCAATGAAGAGGAATGAACACCGCGGTAAAATGGAGATGTCACAATCTGAATCTTTTGATAGCTGTTGTACACGTTCAGGATCACAGCACCAATACGAGGGAATCGTATATAACAAGCTCAATGGTATCCGTAACCGTGGATCTTGGCAGGTCTTTTACGCGCAATGGACTGCCGAGAGACTACCGTATGATTGAATACCCGGGACTTGGCTAGGTATCGCGTCGTTACAATTTGCCATCACGTAGATAATATGCCCCATACAGGAAGCTGATTAGAGCTCGTGAGGGGTCAGAGGGTGAAGATCGTAAGAGTAAAGGGAGACAAATGGCAGAGTAAGAGAGATGGCCGGCTACAGGAAGAGGGCACTCATCACAACGGGTCGCACGGCACTGAATAAGCAGAAGGGAGACAAATATGTACCACGCGCGTATGTTTCGCAGAAATAGACCCGTCTCTATTGGATCTACGGCATCGACTAAATTGCTCTAAATGGAGAACTTGAACGATTCATCCCTTGACGTGCAACCCCCTGCGAAGTAATTAAAATCTGTTATAATGTTACGTCTTATTAAATGTTTCGTTATTTGATAATTATACGAATAATTATACGTGATATTTTTTCTTTTTTTTTTAATAGAGATAAGATGCGTTTGAAAATGATTCCGAAAAAAGTCGTTAAAGAAACGTCGTTGCATCTTACAATTAGAAGATTATTCCGAGTACGATTATTCCGAGTAAAGTACATTTGAAAGAAAATTCGCGAGCGTAAATGAGATGTGCCACGTGCACTTGCCAGTTGGAATAATAATTAATTTTATCGAATTAAAGGCATCGTAATTTACATTATAATCATAGATTGAAGATTAAATTACGATTATATCTACAGAAATGAACGGCCCATATGTTTAAAATTATTTTAACAAGAAATTTGAAATTCTGTCGGCTTGACGAATTCGCGATTGAAACAAAATGCAGCGTTATATTGGAATTCTATTTATAAGTGGATCGTATATTTCATGTTACATCCGTATTGAAATATGGTACGAAATTCGAAATTAATTAAAATATGATGTACTTTCCTATGATCACTAACATGGGAAATGCAGATCGGAATTGGAACGTTTATGATGGATTATTTTGAAAGCACATAGGATATGGACCAATTTGTAGGGCCCCTTTGTATATCCGTTGGGAGGTAACCCAATTTCTCCAATAATGATGGCTATGAGTGACTATATATGCAAACTAATATTGAGTTCACGGTGGATCGTACAGATGTACAATACGTAAGTCATTTGTCACGTCAAGAAAATATTTAAAATTATACGATTTTTCGTTATATGATAACAGGATAAAAGGAGAATAAAAAAAAATATGTTTAGGAATAAACTTTATTATTGAGAATAAAATTACGAATAATCGAATAAATATGGAAAATTTTAAGATCAGTTATACTTTTTATTCAAAATTTATGTTTTATTCGTAATTGAATAAATTATATATATATATATATTAATTTGAAACACATTGCTACAATTCCATACATATGTAAAATGCATTTAGAAATAGAAATGATTTGCGAAAATTGAGAGATGTAATACGATATGTTGCAATAGATAACATCGATATCCATTTTAACAGACATATTTTCAAGATGGGGTGGGAGAATATAGTCTTTAAATTAAGAACTGTTGCAGATTGAATTATTTCGATTCTTCTTCGAGTCCAAGAAGTTTCATTTATCTCTCTCAAGTTTTTTTTTTTTTTTTATCGCGACAGTATTTGATTCGTAGTAAAAATATGTTCAATGAAATTATAACGAAAATATTCGTATCATTGATGGTGTTTAACGTAATTTACGCCTATCAAAGAAATCCATGGTGGAACATCGAAAATTCACAAAGACAGGGGTGAGATTTGCATATAATTATACATATGTATTTTTAAATGTTATTTGAATCTTAGAATAATTTTTAAGAATCTTCAATTTTTATAAAAAATTTCATAATTTCATATTTTTATTTGTTGTAGACCTAATATATGTGCCGTAGAAGTGAATGACGATATAAATTATGCTTATTATACCGAGAATAAACAATGGTATCCTCGAAAAATTTGTGGAAAACCTACGTAAGCGTAATATTATGTTACTTACAATATAGCTTTTATTCAAATACTGAAGTACTTTCGTTTATAGGTTTATAAAATACGAATGTTGCACAGGATATTATAAAGTCGCTGGCCATCCTGGATGCACAGGAGGTAATGGATTCAATTTTATTAGGTTCTTATATTTATTCTTAAATAATTATGTTTTTATGGTTCTTTTCAGTCAAACCGCTGATAAATCTTATAGAAACTACGCGTCGAGTGGGTTCAATGAAATTCGCAAAATTGATTGAAAGTTCAAACTTTGCAAAAGAATTAATGAGTGGTCCACCTTTAACATTATTCGTTCCATCCGATGAAGCTCTTGAAGTATATATATTATATAACTAACAATTTTAACTTTTACATTTTTGTTTAATTTTTAGCATTACTTAAACGTAAAAGGTATACATCAAGAATCGTTACACGATGGCAATAGATATATAAATTTGATCGCAAATCATATAATAGATAGACGTGTATTGTCAAATCAATGGCAAGCAAATCTTTTAATTCCATCACGATTACGAGGAAATGTTTTGAGAATTAATAAATTTCCCAGTGGAGTAAGTAATATGGATTGCGAACAATTAATTACTAATTAGATATGATAAATCATATCTCTGTTTGCGTAGATGGAAACGGTAAATTGTCATCGAATTATTCGCAAAGATCAAATTGCCAGTAATGGAGTCGTACATGTAATCGATGGTGTATTAGATCTTGCTTTGTCTGAAAATTCAGACATCATTGAACTTGTTTCGAGGGACGGTAGATTTGAAATATTTATGAAAGCGTTAGAAAGCACAGATTTAGGGAAAAGGATTCGATACAGTAATATACCATGTACTATTTTTGCACCTACTGATGAAGCTTTCCATCACATTCCAAGGAAACAATTGACCGATATATTAGAAAATCCGATCGCATTAAATGGTGCGTAATATATTTACGTATTTTCTATGACCTAATTTTGTAAAAACTATTATTTTGTATAGCATTAATTGCCCAACATATTGTAACACACCCTGTGTGCATGCCAAACATAATTTCGGAATATCACGCAAGCACGATGGAAAAACAGGAATTAAAATTAAATTGTGGCCCACATGGACCTATTGTAAATAACGCAAACATAAAAAATGAAATGTATCATGGAAAAAATGGATTACTATACGTTCTTGATCGCGTGTTACTTCCAGATCGAGGTAATAAATAAATAATTTCCATTTTAATGATTTTTAAAAATGTTTTAAGAGTTTTATATTATAATTCATATATATTTTAGTTAAAACAATTTTGGATGTGCTTAAGGAAGAAAGATTACTAACATTTTTAGAAATAATTAGAACAGCTGAATTAGAAGAAAATTTAAGACATTTGAAACATTTCACAATATTTGCACCTTCTGAAACAGCAATGCATTGTACGTATTCGAATTTTATTATTAAATATTATTAAAAATAAGTTTAATACATAAAATTATATAAAATTTTTTATAGCCCTATCTAATCAAAAACTTATAGAATTGCAAAGAAATCAAAAAAGTGCTCGAAATTTTGTTCTTAATCATATAGTTACGGGAATATACTTCACTGATGAAATTAGTAGCAATCAAGTAAGTTGTGTTATATTTATTAGGCATTAATATATTTTTCTTATAACATTTAATTTTCAAGAATTATAATTTATATTTAGATTGTTAGAACACTTGAAATGGGAGTTCCATTACGCTTTCAAGTTTATCGTTATAATTTTGGAATAGAAAATGCATTAATTATAAAAGCTAATCGAGAATGTAGTAATGGTGTTCTACATGTTATCAGTCACATTCTACATCCTGCAGAAGAATCTTTAGATTATATTTTAAAAAAAGAAGGCAATTTCAGGTGAAAATTCGTTCTTAAAAGAAAAAGAATTTGAAAAATAAGAGAAATATGAATAAATAACTGTTACAGTATTTGGTTAGATGCAATGGAAAGAATCAAAAGTGTTCAACCGCAAATATATGATCAATTCAAACGAGCAAATTCTACATGCACATATTTTGTTCCTTCGGATGAAGCATTCAAACAGCTTGGGAGTGTTAAACTTCAAAAATTATTAGATGACAGAAATTATTTAACAAAAGTAATATAATTTTTATAGATAAATTAACTAAAAATAATTTCTTCATTTACTTTTAGACACTACAAAATCATATTGTGGATAATATGTTACTTGCTGAAAGTTTTATGCCAGACTTACAGTATACTGTAAGAACTAAAGGAAATCCGATAAATATTATAAGAAAAAATAACAAAATTTTGGTAAATAAGTTTTTCATAATTTAATGAAAATAAAATATCATATTATAATTTTGATTATTAGTTTAAAAAATATAATTTTTTAGGTAAATGATGCTACTCTTGTAAAAAGTGATATTTTAAACAAAGCTGGAATTGCACATGAAATAAATTCTGTATTACTACCGGATCAATGCCCACATGGTTATAAAAGAACATATGATGGAATTGTAAAAAAAATGTGTCTTTAAAGCAAGTAACTAGACACATTTATATTTTACATTATTTATAACAATATATATAATATTATATTATAACAATATATATATATATATATATATAAAATTAAAAAATTAAAAATTAAAAAAAAATAATAAGCCATATGTACATTTATGTATGTTATATAATAAATATAAATATAAATTATATATCTAATATTATATAAATAAATATATAAATATAATTATATAAATATAAATATCTCTAATATTAATAGTAATACAGATATATTGTAATTAAAAAAATAAAACACATTTATTCATTAATTTAAAATTTATATAATATTTCTATAATTTTTTTTAATCGTATTAAAAAATATAGTTCCTTTATGATTATTAGATTTATATGGTTGGCTATACTTATAATAGAACAATTCATATAAATATTTACCGGCATTATTATATATATATATTTGTATTATATCATGATTTCTGAATCGAAGGAAGAACGTTATTTTTATTTTAATAGTTTAGCTATTTTATTAAAAGCTGTTGAAAATGTACGTACAACTATAGATCTTCGAAACGAAGCATCAGTTTATGGTATAGTAGAACATGCAGATGCGTAAGTAATTTTTATTTATATGTTATTATTATTAATCTAATCTTGCATAAATATTTTGTTTTTTTTTAGCTACATGAATATTGTAATGAAAGATTGCATCTTCATAGATCCTAGAGGTGATTCGTACAATTACGATATGTTCTTCGTACAAGCAAGAAATATCCGATTCGTTCATATTCCACCAAAAGTAAGTAGTTTTAAAATATGTGTCCTATTATATTGTAAAATTTTAATATAATTAATGTAAATATTTTTTCATTTTGGTAATAATATTGTATATTGGTAATAATTATATATTAGTTCATTTTACTTTAATCGTAAATGCATATATATTATTTAAAATATATTAGTTCATATCTAATTTTCACATTAAATTTATTATTATTATATATAAGTTTTACATAAAATTTATTACGGAATAAAAGATCAGGAAAGATAATTTTTATTTTTTATTATACATATACATATTATTAATACATTGTCTAGGTATTTTTGTATTTATAAGTTGTGTTTATACAATAGATAATATTTAAAGTACAAATACAAGACAATTTTCTTTTTTTAAATATTGTTTATTGTAAACATTGTTTATTGTAATATGTATTAAATACTTAGTAATGTTTAAAAAAATATATATACATAAATAGATACAGAAATGATAAAAAGTTGTCATTTACATTATAAATCATTAACATTTTTACAAGTGCAAAATATTTTGTGGTATAAAACTAGTGACAAATTAAAATTATTTAAATATTTACATTTAAAACAATATAATACAAGAGCATCGATTACTCCATCAACACAAGTCAGCATGAGTGCATTTAAATTCCTTGATTATGATTGTATTGGATTTGATTTTGATCATACACTTTTACGTTACAATATAACAAACATAGTGTATTTAATATATGAAACATTAGCTAATTATTTAATATCAGAAAAAGGATATAATTCTAAATATTTATTAAAGCCATTACAAGATAAAGACTTAGACTTTATGCAGAAAGGATTATTCTTAGATTTTGAGAAAGGAAATATACTTAGAATTAATGCTGATGGCATAATTCAAAGAGCATGTCATGGAACTAATTTATTAAGTATTGAAAAAATTAAAGAAATATATCCCGGACAGAGATGGGAAATCACAGATGCTTTTTGCAATGATATGTTATCCACATGGAGTGGTCCTCCATCAATGAAAATGAGAAGTTTATTAGACTATTTTGATATTTCCTCATCTCTTATTTTTGCAAGATTAATAGATACACTCGATGAAGAACAAGAAGAACCATTAAATGCATATAATGTTTGGCCTGACATGTTAGATGGATTGATTGAAATATATAAAAAAGAAAATTTTAAATTAGGCAAAGGATATTTTTATCCTAGTCTAAAAGAAAATCCTCATAAATATATGTATAAATGTACTGCAAAAACTATAAATTGGCTTCAAGAATTAAAAAGACATCGTATTACTTTCCTTATTACTACATCATATATCGATGTTGTTGACTTTACTGCTACTTATGCTTTAGGAAAAGATTGGAAATCACTATTTGATATTATTATTTGTTATTCAAGAAAACCTCGTTTTTTTACTGAAAAACATCCATTTTTTGAGATTATAAATTATGAAGAAGGTAATATTATAAAAAGCAAAGATTTAAAACAAGGTGGTATATATAGCCAAGGTAATTGGAAAGAACTTATTGAATTTTTTAAACGTATATCTGGAAAACAAAATCCTCAATGTATATATGTTGGTGATAATCTTTTACAAGATATTTATGTACCAAATTCATGTGTACAATGTGATACAGTAGCTGTAATTGAAGAACAAATGTCTGAAGGAATGATTCATCAAAAATTATCACATCCAGATGAAAAAATATTAAATTCAATATTTTGGGGCTCTTATTTTTGTTTAAAAGATGCAAAGATTAATATGGATTCGTTATGGGGACATGTTATTAAAAAATATTCAAAACTTTGTATACCTGAAGTAGATTTAATAGCTCAACAACCATTAGAAGAATCTTGGCTGTGTTTTAGTAAAGATGGAAAGAAATATGATGGATATTATCCTGCAGTACCACTCAGTATATCATCATTTTAAATTTGTCACTGGTATAAAGATATATTTTTCATTAATTTGCTAAATGACATTTCTATAATTAACATGTTATATTAACACAATTATTATAACATTCTAATACCACATAAGATATTCTTAATTCAAGATACGTATTATACCAGCTATCAAGGAACAATTGCAATATTTATTAAGAAATAAAAAGGACTTAACACACACTAAACGTACATTTAAAACAAAACGTGCTGAACAAAGACAACGAGAAGGACTAGCAGCAATGGAGAAAATTTTAGAAGATAGAAAAAAGGCAAAGCAAATTAAACAAAAACGAAATTAATTAAACATTAACTAATGCAAATTGATTTTACAATATATTTATTTACAATTTATTTTTGTGTACAAAAATAACTTCTATATAAACATGCATTGCACAAAATACTGTATGAATTTATTATAAAATTGGTTATTTTGTACAAATTGCAATTACAATTGTTAAAAGCTAATATGTAAACAAATATAAATAAAATAAATTTATATAACTACATTAGCTTTACTAATATTATAAAACAAATGCTATTATAAATTCTATATTTTCAATATATAGTTTTTTATATTTTTTATAATAGCATTAATTAATATTTATTACAATAATAATAAAATATTCAATAATTCAATAATAACAAAAATTAAAAATTATATGTGATATGCCCATATATAAATATTCTTATAAAATAACAATACCAACAAAATTTTACATTTGCAGAATAAATAACATTTAATTAGCTGAAGTGGTTGTTATTTTCTTTGAACAGCAATAGCTATTCCCATTCCTCCACCAATACATAAAGCTGCAATACCTTTGTTTCCATTAATTCTTTCTAATGAATGTAATAAAGTTACTAATATCCTAGCACCTGTAATAAAATAATTAAATGTAATACAAATACTATAGATATATAATATAATATTTTTTAATAATTTAACTATTATACCAGATGCACCAATAGGATGGCCTAAAGCAATAGCTCCTCCATTTATATTAACTTTGTCTGGATTTAAACCAAGAGATTTTATACATGCTATTGATTGTGATGCAAAAGCTTCATTTAATTCATATAAATCTACTTCTTCTTTTGTCCATTTTGCTTTTTGTAACTAAAATATTGATATATCTTATTATCTGAATTTATGAAACATATTTAAAATTTTATATACTAACCACTAATTCAACTGCTGGTATGGGACCTATACCCATAATTTTTGGTTCCACACCAACTTGAGCTACTGCAACAATTTTAGCTAGTGGAGAAAGTTCTTTTTGTTTAGCAATGTCTGCTGACATAAGAACTACTGCTGCTGCTCCATCATTGATACCAGAAGCATTACCAGCTGTAACTGTACCTTCAGCCTAACAATATATCATAATATATATATAAATATTTTAATTTAAAAAAAAAAAATACAACTAATCATACTTTCAGAAAAGCTGGTTTTAATTTTTGAAGATCTTCAATAGTTGTTCCAAATTTAGGATATTCATCTTTATCCATGATAACAGATCGTTTTTCAATAGATAATGTTACAGGAATAATTTCTTTTTTAAAATAACCTTCAATAATTGCAGTTTCTGTTTTATTCTGAGATTTAACTGCATATTCATCTTGTTCATTTCTACTTATATTAAAATCTTTAGAAACATTTTCAGCTATATTTGTAAAAAGATTATATATAGTAAAAGAATTTTTTACAAAATATACAGTACAAATATACAATTACAAAATAGAGTTATAGATAGAATTATAACTTTCATACCTGTTATTCCCATATGAATTCCATGAAATGCATCTGTTAAACCATCAAATATTAAAGTGTCTATTAGACGACAATCTCCTATTTTTACACCATTTCTAAATTGTATTGCATGTGCAGATTGACTCATACTTTCTTGACCACCAGCTATAACTATTTGATTTTCACCAGCTTTTATGGATATATATCCTTGGATTATTGCTCTAAAAATATATATCTTTTATCAAATATATTCAGATTAATAATAAATATAAACATATAAATTCTGAATATTATTAAATTTGATTAATAAAATTATTATTATTATATAATTTAATAAAAGTTGAGATTAAAGTTTATATTTACTTTAACCCTGAACCACATAACATATTAATTAAATAAGCAGGTGTAGTTATAGGAATTCCAGCTTTTATTGCTGCTTGTCTTGCTGGATTTTGTCCTTGAGCAGCATTTAATACCTACAATGGAAATTATTCTTTATATTTTAAGATATATATTATAAGATGTAGAAATGTATAATAAAATAAAATAAAAATTCAAAAATTCAAATTTATGTATAAACTTATAAATATTATATATAGATATACAATTATAAATATATCTCTAAATTTTTTATTTTATTATGCTGGTATTGATAATTATCTATATATAAATATAATTATATAATATAATTATATCGATATATTTATATTTTATTTATAATTATATTGATAATTAAAGTATTAAATATTATATAATATATATATTTTTTGCATATTTCACATATTTTTTATTAGAGATTATTAGAAAGACAAATAATATTAAATTTAAAATTTAAAAAAAAATATATAATTCATATTTGTTTATTGAGTATATTACCTGTCCAAATATAACTTCAGAAACATCCTCAGGTTTAAGATGTGCTCTTGAAAGACTTTCTTTAATAACTATACTTCCTAAATCTGATGCTTTCAGTGATGATAAGGAACCACAGAAAGATCCTAAAATTAATAAAATATTTTATAAAACTTGAAATTCATTGTAGAGAAAAAAATTTTTTAAATTTTATATAATATATATGATATTGAAATATATATAGAATTATATAATATAATATGATATAGAAATTAGCAAAAAATAATATATCTAAATAAATAAAATAATATAGATAATATAGTAATACAATACAATAATACAGTAAAATATACTTAAATAAATGATATAAATAAATAAAAATAATTATAAAAATCAATAATATTAGTATAATATATTTATTTTAAGTATTTATATATATTTATTTTAAGTATAATATATAATTATTTCAAATATTTAAACTAAAGACATAAGTAAGTTAGGAATATGAATTGCATGATTATATAAAATTAAATTAAAAATTAATTTGTTAAAATATAATTAAATTAGAATAAAAATATATCAGATTTAAAATTTTTTAATAAAAGACATCATTATTATATTAAATAAAGAATAGTTAATCAAATATGTAATTATTTATAAAATTATTTTTAAACTGGATTAATAATATAGTATAATATAAAATAAATATTATTTTCAATTAGTACACAATTTAAATTTACAAATTGCAAAATGATACCTATGGGTGTCCTAACTGCCGATATAATTACAACATCACTGATACTCATATTGAAAATTTATTGTAAATTACACCTCAAAATCTTCTGGACAACTGAACGAAGACTACCGCCAGGAAAACCGATGTAACGGAAATAAGTAGTTGAAGAGGTAGTGATATGTGCCAGTAACGGCTTAATGAAAGTATGTCAAACGAAATTTAGGTGTCCATATTTGTGAACAATTTCTCATGTATCTTTTTGTTGAAAGTTTATTTTATTATATATTTTATTCATTTTAAGATTATAATTAAGATTGATGTTAATTTTATTATAAGGATTACGAGAATAATAGATTTATTATAGTTTGTTTTATTTCTCGATTAAACATTATTTATATGATTTGTATTGGGATCTTTACTATGTTAGATGTGATACATCCCTGATCAACGTCATCGGGTGGCTAACTTCTAATTTGGCATACAGGTGGCGCTGAACCACCAATCGTGGTGTCGTGGTGGTGCTCGTTTGTTTTTACCCAGCATGCATTGTGAATAGTGACTGGTGCTAAGATGGCCGACAACAAGGAGGAGATTTCGGAGCTCGTCGAAAAGCGAGGTATTTATTACAATTGTTCAATTTATTTTTCGTGATCACAGTTTAGAATAAAAGCTCGATACACGACGAATATGTCGATGGTCTTTGGCGAACGATATGATCCGTAGTTGCTATAAAAATCACGCCATCTGCACGCACGGTGTTCAGGAGGAATGATCGCGAAAATCGACGTGAATATACTAACGAATCGTGTCTGTTTTTTGAATTTCTCGCAATATTTGTAATATTCGCGATTAGTTAATTTAGGTTATGTTGACAGGAATATATCTGTCAATGCGACATCACTTTTGTCCAGTGCCAAACATTCTATCTTTTGACAGGCTATGTTCACATTCGGTTACACGATATCGTATAGTGTGTGGTACATGCGAGCAGACAGAATACCGTGCTCGTTCTTGTGTGTCCGCCTAAGCGCTATGCTCATTACTCATTAAGGTCATACGCTGACGGCCTTGCAATTCGCACCGTCGTTGAAGTAATCTCAGTCGAGATTACCGTTATCTCTTACTGCGAATTTATTGCCGGCTGATTTGTCTATAAGACCTATATTGTTGGCATAGTGTTGCGTGTTGTTAAAGGGTTAGGTTTCGAACGTCGGTTATGGGATTCAAACGTTGCAATGATTTAAAAAGTGCAATGTGTTCGACTTATAATCGACTAGTAACAATCATTCAATATCACGATGAATTTTTCTTTTGGCAAGAATATCTCGATAATCGATTGCTACCTGATGTTACATTGTGCCTCGTGGAATTTGCCCTTCGATATATATTATAAGAATATCATCAATGTTTAAATTATGTGGTCAATTTGTAAATTTTCTTGTCTAAAATTTTTGATAAAAGAACGTACAATAATTATGCGCATGTTCGACATTTTTAGGTTTTGTTTTGATATTGGGAAAATTATCGTGATCAGTAACACGTGGTGATGCGTAAGACAATTTGTAGACAATTCAACAGTCGTATGAAATAAGAACCATTCGTTTAATTCGTAATCTTTGTTTCTTTGATTAGCGTATATTTACCAGTGCAATACGTGTTTAATATTGTCATTCGTGAATGTATATGTATTTGTAGATTAGCGAACCAATCATGCTCGATACGTAATTATCGTTCATCGGCCGGCCATTTACTGATTTCCACCATATACCGACCGTTGTTTTTTGAATCGTTCAATGGATAATTCCTTTGTTCGTGAGGATATTTTTAGTTATAAACTATGCGGGCCACAAGCTAGAACCGACATGATTAGCATCTCAAAGTGATCAATCGTGATTTCTGTTCGTTGCTACATAATGCGATTAACTGTTACATACGTCGCGGTATTATGCGTCAAGTCTTGCACCGGTGTGCCTCGTTGCGCATCGAACCAGTTCCCATGCGTCTTTATTAGAATTTTCTCGTGAACGTTTTTTCTCAGCTGCGCCTTTTTTAATATGGATCAGTCCTGGCGTGCAGACATCTTGGTAAATATTAAGGATATCGGGCATTTCGGCATGAATTGTAAGATGTGGCGCACCTAGACATCGCGTGATTGTCTGATTCCTCGTTACATTTTTTCGTTTAATCCATTCGGCTACTTCTTTTTCATTATTCGTTTCCAGCAATATTCTAGAAACATGGTGATGATAACGATCTTCTGCAAAAGAACGGATCAATATTTTAGCTTAGTATTTTACCTTGTTTCAACGAGCTTTTATAACGAATCATATTTTTTACTTTTATATGGTTGATTTGATTACAATGATCATTATTCTATATTATTGTTATTATCTTTTTATGTTATTTAAAATTTTGTAATAATACTCAAATTAAAATATTTGTTGCCAATTATAAATTTAAATTCATATTTCTCTTATATATGAAACGACTAAAATTATCTTTTCAATACATATTTTTGCATGTTTTAAATATTATTATTAGATATATTCAAAATTTTAGAGGTTATTTGGTTTATCTATGAATGCACGAATTTTTCATTATATTTATTAGAAATTATTTCAATGCGATCATTGTTCTCAAATCTTGAAAAAATGTTTATATGCACGAAGTATAGTATCGAATATATTCAATCAAGTATATTAGGCAGGAAAATCTACGTACCGCGAACAAATAGTTTGATAATAAGGTCGCTTTATGAATTGGTAGTGTTCTCAATTTTGTTAACAACCTAGTTAATAACCATGTAAATTATCTTTTTCCGGTTTAGAGGAAGATGATCAGAATATTCAATTCTATCCATTTAAAGATATCTATCATTAAATAAAATACTCTATACAACGTTTTTCTAATTTTTCTAATTTATCTACGACCTCTACCAACCAGTGCAGGGAACACTTAATGAGCAAATAAAACGTCTAAGCTTAAATCATGGTCCAACGATTCGATTAGTCAAATTTGTTCTTCTTAATTAACGATAACGAATGCAGAATTATACACAATTAAATCATAATACGGAATTACCATCGAACCCCGTTAACGATTGCATGAATGTCAGTAGCGTTGTACGAGGCACGTATTAAAACATAAACGTGACTTTCCACGCGATGATGTGGCGTCAATAAGCGAAGCCTCGATAGATATTCTTCGCTGATCTGCTCTATTTGCCGTCCCGTTCGTGCGCTTGGTACGTGTTAGTAATATCAAAAACAACACGGTGTCGAACGTCTTTCAAATTTTCTATTAACATTATATTTGTCATTGCATCAGGCGCAGTTTCGAACACGACTCGACCACACAATGAGAGAATCTTCCATCTGCTTAAAAAATTATCAGGCTTCGTCCCATGTTTTCACGTTTCGAGGTTTCCCCTTGTATAAATAAGCCAGGTCGCAGGATGCAACAGATGACTGAGGATACTCAAGTAGGTTGCATTTATTTATTCGTGGTGGCGTAGAACCGCGTTCGATAACGGTACATCATTGTTTTGGCGTGGTCAGAAGCCGCGTTTTCAACGTGGGCACGATGTAACCGCTAAAACAACTTTTCTCCCTGTTTTAATCCCGTTGCTGTGGTGCCGTTCTTCTTTTTTCTCTCTCTCTCTCTCTCTCTTTTTCTCTCCTCTCCCTCCGATTCCGTATACACCGGGCGCATCCTTAAACGGGCAAATTATCGACTTTCGAGGGTCCGTGCAGCATGCGTGCTGCAAATGATCGTCTCGTCTTGTTCCACTTTAGCTTCGAATGATATCGTATATTAAACGTATATACGCACGATGTATAATATACGCGAGAATGTATATGCTATTAACCAGAATTACCGATAATCCGTCCTTTCGTATTGACATGTAAATAGATGCTTTTCATTCAGTCCCATTGACGAGCGATATCTTCGTTTCACGTTGTATATTCCACTCCTTTGAAACGCGAGATTAACCTTTAGGTTGAAACTCACGGTTAATTTTTTGGCATTCTTCTGTGTAGCCTGGATATATCGTAATATCGAGGACGACAAATGGTCGGTGTCCTTGGTCTCGGTGACGTTTCCTCGCCGGTTCGCTACGGCCACGTGGGGGATGTTATAAACAGGAAACGATGCAGAACGTTTTAAATTGGTCGGCATTTGTGCGACACTGAAACATCGGCAAAGGGAAGGCTCTAGCTCTGCTCCATTTAATAAATCGTCCCGTTCTATTGATAAGTACGTAGCCACCGGGGAGACGTGGCGCAGTTTCACGCGTGTTCTTCGTGCTCTAGCAGAATCGATATCTGCGCCTCCCTTCGCCTTACGGGAATGCGGTTTCTACGACTTTGCTCTATAACTTACTTTGTCCTCGTCGATCTCGAAGGCATCGAGATAGACGAGTACGAGTAAGTTTTCCAGGGAACGATACGACGAGTGAAGACTCATAGATTGCCAACTTATTATTATTCCCGATCGAGATTATTCCTGTTTCGTTCTGGCTGCTCCGTGTACGAGGTGGCCGCTAATTATGAGTGCAACGTTGCACTATGTAATACGCACTAATTATTTTAACACCGTTACGTAATCGCTGACCGAACATCGTTTTCGATCAGCATTTCCTGTCTTGTTGAGCAGTTCGGTGAAGATCTCTTGGCGTGGCAAGAAAAAAGCGAAACTCGAGATAATCGTCATGGTAATTAAGTCTATAACTAGTATCGTCGGTGTAAGAATAATAACGAATTCTTCTTTTCACGCATCGTTTCACCGTTTCTGCGTTTTCTACTATTTTAATGTTGCAATCTATTGTTATACATACCGCATAATTCTGGAGCATAAATTGCTGTAACTTTTCTTTGCGTCTTTTGCATCTGTAAGCATCTTTCATTTGTTCCTTTTTGTGTTATTCTTTAATGCCATCGACAATGTCGACGTATGTCCTCGTCTCGATATTCAATTTCGTTCGATTATAGTCGTGAGCTATACATTTTTATTTTTATCAAAGAATCAATACGTTTTGGTATTTCTCATGTAAGCAACTCGTAACTAGAGGAAATGGTCTTTTGCACAGCCTTGATTTTTATCGTTGTTTGATCTTTTATTCATTCTTTGCTCAAATGTTTTTAACATTATTCAAATGTGCTCATAAGCAATTTTTTTATAGCAACGTAATCGAATAATTAAATATCGTATATTCTATAAATATATATACATAATTACGAATTTATAAGTCACTTTTTATAACTTTTTAATCAAGTTTTTCTTTTAAAACGTTCCATCGAATCATACATAAATTTCTTGCACTATATCTAAATATATTCGTAATTATTCGTTTTTCATATACATCAATTAAAACCAACGATTATATAAGTTGCCTTCGTTATCGCAACGATTAAACGACTCTTTCGAACAATATTATCGCAAAAGTGCCCGGTTTTCGTTTGATATTGTGCTTGTGAACCAATTGTTATCAAGTATACATATTGATATATCTCTCCCTGATAAAATGATTATCGATCAACGAAAAGTCGAAAGAATCGCTACGCATTTACAGAGAGGATCGACCGTTTGCACGACTTATTACGAGTTAAATCGTGCGCATGCGTCATAACGCGTACGTGACTAACCGGAAATTCACGTGGATCATGCGGTATGCGGCGAATCTCTCGATCTCGAAGACCAACAAGAAATCGGTGAAGAAAAGTTCCTTATCTCTTAAGAAATCTGTCTGTGCTCACGTTTTCACGCGTCACGGTTGTTGATTACGACCGCCAATTTTTGTATCGTTGATTCATTTCGTTGTTCGTCGTCTTTTTGAATCGAACAAAGCCTTTTAGATTCGTGAAAATTGAGATAATATGAGTTATTGTTTGCACAGAGTTGCACAGAGGAAGTGATTTAAGAAGCGGTAAGGAAAATTTGCAATGGTCTTGTTCATGCTTTATCTGGCGCATGAGTAGATATCGATAATTGATTGCGATTTAAAATTTATTATGAAACGCGATGCGATATCGATACGATCGAGAAGTCGAATCGAATTCTGCTCTAACATTCCTAACATTCTTCGATCCGCTTTTCCTCAAATTTTTCCAGAAAACTTAAAGAAAGATTAAACTATAAATACATGTATATAAAAAAGATGTCTGTGATGCAAAGTAAGACGAATGAACCCTTTCTAAAAGTTTTACGAGTTCCGACTTAAACGAACGCGTCGCGGATATGGATATATATTTTTGGCAAAATTTTTCGCGACTGTTACATTCCGGAATGTTTGGACATCGCGCGTCACTGAATCTAGCCACCGTTACGTAAGGTTATATTTAGGGAAAGCTGAATAAGAGTGGTGAATTGAACGTTAGCCTACGAACCTCAAGCACGCGATAATTATAGTCACCGGGATGGATAGCCAGAGTTGTTGTTCGCTATTCGTATTTGACGCTACTTTGCAACCTTTTTCCCCGTACGTGACGACATAACGTCAGGTTTTCAGATCGATTCGAATGTATGGTATCTAAATATCGAAATAAGATTATACAAATTTCTAAAAAATCGTAAAAATTCTTGTCCAGATGTATTGCGGGGAGTCGAAGCGCGATTCGTCAACATTTACGTGCTTCCTGCGCGCGTTCTTGACGCATTGCTTGACTCAGTCGTTGGCACGATGCCTGTTCAATGTCGTCACACGACGTCCCAGGGCTCGACTGAAAAAAGAGGAGCTCCCTGGATCCGCACACGGTACGCAATCCGCTTCGTACCTTCCGGCCGCGCCATCCTTTTCACCCTCCCTCCCCCCTCCAGGTGCTCGGCCAAATGGAAATTCCGTCGAGAACGTTCGATCCTGAATTACCTCGATCGACTTTTTCCCTCCTCAACGGGAACGCAAAACTCCTCGTCCATGCAAAATCAACGGCCATTCGATTCGTCTCGGAGCTCGTGCCCTGTCCCTCGAGAAGCACGTCTACTTAAAAATCTCCACTCTCGACACGATCGATACGATCTCGTAAAAACGAAAAAGCTTAAGAAAAAAAAATTGGAAAGGTTCATCGATCCTGACAAGAATTCAATTACCTTAATCTTTTCACGTATAAACATATATATATGAGGGCCAAAATGAAGGATTAATTGGAGAAATTTATGGAATTTAAGGGTAGAATCGAATTTCCTGATCCTTTGTTCGACTTTGGCGCTGAGGATCGAGGTTGGTTAGTCGGGCAAGGATGGTTGTGCGAGGACAGCCACGTTTTACGAGGGCGGAGAAAGAATCGGGAAGGTGTCGGGGCGGAGTGGAAGGCCGCGAAGCTGTTACGGGGTGTGGAAGAGGAAGAGAGACTGGAGGAAGGGTAGGGAAGGGAGCGTGGTGCATCGACTTGACAGGAGAGAAGGGGGTTGATTCATCGTGGAGGCCGCACTTGGCTTCACGCAGTCGTAGAACGAATCTCGTTCATCGTGATCCTGGACGAGCGGGACGAGCCAGTTACGCGTCTTCCACGCGAAAGTCAAGGACGCGAATTCCCGGTCCCGCATTCTCGAGACACGCGAGACGATCGAGAAAGTTACTATACAGTCGTTAGCCGGTACGGAACGATGTTGTTTCTCTCTTNTTTTTTTTTTTTTTTTTTTTTTTTTTGTGCAGTTTCGATACTCGCCCACGAGGAACGGAGGAAAGAGGAAACTAGATGACTTCTCGATCTTTAACCTCCTTTTCGTTTTTTTCTGTTTGGAATAATCTTAAGGTTATCGGGACATCGAATTCGTGAGACTTGTTCTTTGTTAAACAGTTTCTATTGGTAATCGTTAGGTGGTTTCCGTTCGCCGAATCAATTATAGAAACGAAGAGAATCGAAACGACGTTCGTACGTGTATGCCTACACGTTATTCTTAAGCAGATGATTCATCGTTTTCATTCTAGCTTTAATATTCAATTTGTCCCGATTACCTTTTTCGGTCAACCAGTTGCTTCTGTGCCGAGATATATCGAGATTTTCGTCTCCTCTTTTCTCTCGAGGGCGAGGCCTTTGAACCTCGTGATCCATGTGTTTACTGTTTTACTTTACGATGTTTGATGTGAAACAGTTCTTCTAGGCTAGAATCTTCGTGAGTGCTCATAATGGTCGTCGCGATGCTCGCCGATTATGGACAACCTGATTTAGGTACGTGATACCTAATAATGTTCCCATTCACGTGTGTGCAAACAGTTTATAATTTCTTTTTGACGTAGTTAACGTAATTCAAGATGAAAAAAAAAAAACGAGCTTAAATACTCGTGACGCAATTATCTTTTGCGATGACACTAGACGAGCCAAGAAGCATGATTAATGCAACGTAGAAACTAACGTTACCTTTCACGAAAGTTTATTACATAGTAACTCTGTAATGTATATTATCGATCGTTCGCTAGTTTTTGCAATTTCACCGTCTTTGCGTTCTTGAAACACACGCGGTTCTTTTTCTCTCTCTCTCTTTTTCTATCTCTGTCTTTCTCCCTAGAAAATTGCCAGCTATAACATAAAGTTCACGAGAACACGTGCTCGGTAACGATTAATGTTTTCGAGGAACTCGATCGTTCCTCCGCATGAAATGTTCGATCAAAAATGAAAGAAGAAAATAGGATACTAAACGCTTCGGTAATAGTTATTGTTAGCTTGGAAGTTTTTAACCATTCGAATTCGTCGCGGCAACGTTTAACCGGTCCTATGGATTATGCTGTTAAATTGTATAACAGAACGAACAACGGTATATGAAACGAGCCTTCTTTCATCGTTCAATTCACCGTGGTGACAAATAAAAAAAAAAAAAAAAGAAATTTCACGATGCGTTTAACGCTATGAAACATCCATTGTCGATTCCATTAACATTGTCACGAGACAGTCACGAATTTACAGATACAGTGGCCTGCTCTTTATCCACTAATCCATTTCACGATGAAATTCATTGTACGTGGCATTAAGAACTGGTTTCGCGTGGAACAAAGACCAGACGTTTGTGCCACATTGGTTTCACGATAGTATCGCGTTTTTTTTTAAGGCGAGAGAGACCAAGGCGAAGAGATCCTTTGTCGTGTTTGTCGATTCGTTTCCGATATTGCTTCCGCGATTTTCACAACTTGAGAATTTTCACAACGTGTTCTGGCACGAGATCCTCTCGAAACGTTTCGACAACGATTCGTGCTTATTAGAATTGTTTATAGAATTAATCGGAAACGGGCGTGTTCCTTCAAATATTTATATCTACTCGTCGCGAATTTGATTCGATCCTTGTGAATTAATATCAATCGAATCATTTTGCGTTTTACAAAATTTCATCAAGGCTTCGTTAGACTAGATACGATGAATCAGCAATGCCTGGCTCATTGCCCCATCGTGGTTACACGAATAACTCTCACGAATAATTCCGAATCGATCCTACTAATTATTCGAAGAGATCGCACGTGCCCTGCTCGACGAGCGATGCATACTCGCGCGAGGCGTGCTCATAAACCATGTCCTAGGTCAATAACAGAAAACCGTATTGCGCGCTTTTCTTCCTCTATTTTTTTTTCTTTTTTTTTTTTCCTTTTTTTTCTCTCCACGTTCGTCGTTTGCTCAGAGGGGTACGTTTTACGTCACTCGTTTGTACGTGTACACAATTGATCGTATTGTCGCGTTTACTCAGCGTTTACCATTGTTCTAACATCTTTTCGCCAGGAAGGCAGCTGGCACCTTCCTTTGCCACCTTTGCCGGAAAAACGGAAACAATTTTTTGAAACCGAGAATTAAAACTGAGAACTTCGAATTCGCGTTTTCACGTTCGGAAGATGTAAAAATTCTCGAGAAGAGCCCGTGGTCTACTCGATCCCCCTCCCACGTGTCCCGATATTTGACCGGCGAGGACAAATATTTGCCCCGCGACTTTCACGATTCCTGGTACTCTGACTCGGTTGAATTTGATAAGCGCCGAGTATCGCGTAGCGGTTACGGGGGAAAGAATCGAGCGCATTCTGCGCGTTCATTGTCGCCGCCGCGCGCATTCACGAGGCATTGTTCTTCCCGGTTTTTCAGGCCAGGCCAGAAAAGTACAGCTGCCTTTTCCCTTTGTACGCTCCGTGCTAATCTAGATTCCGCGAGATCGTAGATTACACACCGTTTCGAAACGGTTCGAAAACCCGGCGTTAACG